TAAAAAAATCAAAATCAAAATTTTTGGTTTGATTTTTCAGATTAATGCTCACCCCTAATCTGACAAATTTCTGCCACATTTTAGTCAACTCTTGGGTATCCAACTATTGGTTGAACGAGTAAGTTGACTCAATTTAAAAGAACAAATTTGATTGTGTTATGTTATCATTGCTATTTTTGGGGTGAGTCGGTGGGCAAAAGAACCAAAAAATCGAATCGATCAAAATTAAATCGAAGAATCAGTTAACCGAGTCAATTGGTATACATATATTTCTATATATTTTTTATATATTATAAATTAATAAATATGTATTATATATAAATATATATTTATAATATATTGTAAAAATTTAAAAACTAATAAAACAACGAACTGAACTGATGATTAACCGATTGGTTTTGATTTGATTTCAGTTACCGGTTTTCCAAAAACCGGTACTACCAGTTTAGTTACAAAACCTAAACCGTGAGCACCCCTAATTTCTAGTTTCCTACTAGTGGGTTGGTTTTTTTTTTTAATTTTTACAAAACAGGGAGATTAAAAAAAAAAAAGAAAAAAGAAAACCAAAACAGCAGACAACAAGATCTAGCGAGGGAGAGCTCTGCCTGCTGCGTCAACATAGATGACAAAATTTAGCTCCCCGGGCGGGGCGTGCTACAGGGAAACTTCACGATCCACACCTTTACTAGCCAACCGATCTGCAACTACACTTCCTTCTCTGTGCGTGTGGGAGTAAGAGATCTGTCTTGCGGTCCTCTAGGCTATCAGCTTGCACTCCTCCGCTAACTTAAGACACCTCCATGGGATCTTCGAGAAGGGAATCTCCTTTGATGGTGATGGTCTCTCTCTGAACCTGCAAAGCTTACTTGTGGGCTTAAAGGGCAGCCCATATTTCTGCCACAACAATTGAAGAGTTTGTCTATCTTTCCACATTTGATTGTCAAAACATGCCCTCTGAAATCTGAATCCCTCATAATGCAACCAAAGGAACAACTCTCATCTTCTCTAACCGAGGTGTCAAAATTTATCTTAATGCATATTGGATTTGGGGCTATTTATCTTATCCAACACAGGTTTTTTGGAAAGAAGTGGACATTGAAAAGGGGATTGCCAAACAGTTATTTCTTGGCTAAAGAAGAGAGAAGAATATCTCCCTGGAGGATGAGGCCGCTGGTAAGACAGGCACAAGTTCTGAGGGATTCCCTAAATACCTCGTTCATGTGGACTCCCAGAAGTGCCAATTCTTTGGTCGACATGTTGGCTAGATTGGGTATGTCTAAGGATCGGCTCGAGTAGGGTTGCCCAGGACCGGGCTGTAACCTGTAATTTTTTGCTTTCTGCTTCTTCTCTTCTCTTTTTAAGAAGCAGCTTTGTTTCTTGATGAATTCTTGGTTCTTCTCGGCTCGAGTAGGCTTGCCTTTTGCAGCCAAGCTTGTTGTATCTTGGTTCTTTCAGGTTATCTTTAATGAATTCTTTTTGTTACTTATTAGAAAAAAGAAAGATGGTTTTCGATATGGGAGTTTTGTAGCGGTATTTGCTTCTATAAACTCTTTTGCATAGTCCCAAACTTTGAATACAATTTGAATTTGAAGGGGTGAAAATGATTTGTTATTGAATATTTTGAAATTTCGATTCTTCCAAAGGTGCCAAAAGGTGGAAGTTATTCTCTCCCAAACCACCTATTCCCTCAATTATTGATTTCTGCCACTAGTCTATCAGATCCCAATCAGGTCTGTCCATGGAATCTTGAAAAAGGCTTCCCACTAGCCTCTGTACAAAAAGGGCAATCAGTTTGTAACTTTAGGCTTCTCTCTTAAAGATTCTTTTTTTTGGAAGGATTTTGTTAAAGATCAAGAGCCAAAGAAAGACTTCTAATTTTCCGGGACAATAGAATTTTCTTGATTTTTTAATTAGACTTAGGGCATGTTCGTTTCCTCTTAACTCTTCTTTCATAAGAGGAATCTTTTAACTTTTAGGCTATGTTTGGTTTGAAGGAAAAGGTAGAAAAGGAAGGGACCCTACATTTTATAACCTTTATCTTCTGGATTATGTCGGCCTCATCTTGCAAGACATTTTGGATTGGTTGTAGATCTACCCAATTATCACACCAAAAACTTACAAGTAGCCCCATTTCCAATTCTCCACATGATACCCTTTTTAAGATTAACAATTTCATGAGTGATTTTCCTCCACGCCCAAGAACAAGAATATGGAGTCTTGTGCTCCAAGAAGTCCATGTTTTTTAGGTATTTATGCTGAACAAGTTGCACCAAGAGATTATTTTTGTTAGAGATGATCTATTGATTTTCCAACCAAGTTTCATTAGATTCACTTGATTTATTTGGCGTAATTTTTTTAACCTCATATTCCCTTTCCTTTATCTGTACAAACTGAGTTGCAACTTGTGAGCACGAAGGATTTATTCTTTTGCTTTGTACTCCACAGGAAATTCCTCTTTGTTTTGTAACCTTTTTGGGCAGGCCAAACATACTCATCTGGTATTGATCTAGGTTGCTTATTACTGATTTTAACAGAGTTATTTTCCCTCCAAAGGAAAGAGACTTGCTTTTCCACCCACCCTTTCTTTTTTGTTTTAATTTTCTCAAGCACTCCATTAAAGATGCTTTTTGTCACCCTTTTTGATTTCTTGGTAATCCATCCCCCAACCCAGGATTTGACAGGATTTGACCCCAAGTCTCCGCTACAATTAGGGATGGCCACGAGCTGAGTTCTTCACGAGCTACTCAAGCTCAGCTCAGCTCGATTTTAACCGAGCTTTGAGTCAAGCTCGAGCCCAATTTACAGGCTCGTTTATTAATCGAGTCGAGGTAGAATAGCTACATACATATGTACACACATATAATAATGATGATGATGATAATAATAATAATAATAATAATAATAATAATAATAATAATAATAATAATAATAATTTTATTTTTATATATAACAATAACTAATTATTATAGTTCTTAATTTTTAAAATATCAAATAAAATATTATATATATTATTTTTATAAAACATTTTTCTCAAGTCGAACTCGAGCCTCATACTACCTTGGCGAGTCAAGCTCGAATAACTAGTTATTCGCCTTGGCTCGGTTTGAATCCACCCCTAGCTACAACCAGTAGACCTTACTAACCAACTGGTTTGCGCCTTGCTTTTTGTCACCCTTTAGGTGATTATAGGGAATTCCCAGGTATTTTTCTTTTGTATTTGACCTTGGAATTAGGGGTGGATTTGAGTCGAGCCGAGCTGAATAGTACCACGCTTAAGCTAGGCTCAAGACTATTCTACAAGGCTCGAACTCGAGCTTGAGCTTGGTTTGAACCAGAACCTTGAGCTCGAGCTCGACTCGTTTTATATTTTATAAAAATATTTAGAAAAAATGTTTTATAAAAATAAAAATTATAATAATTAATAATTATAATAATAATAATAATAATAATAATAATATTATTATTATTATTATTATTATTATATATAGATATATTCGAGCCAACTCGCAAGCCTCACGAGCCGAGCTCTAATAGGTTCGAGCTCAACTGAAACTGAGCCAAGCTCAAACAGCTCGTAAAAAGCTCGACTCGTAAAAAACTTTGCTAATACATTTTTGGAAAAAATCATTATTGATTTTTGATATGGTTTTTGACTTGAAGCTCTTGCAAACTTATTTAAAATCTCCAGTATGTTATGGTAAGCTTACAGGCTGGCTTTTACAAATATGAGACAATCGTCAGCAAAGTGGTGGGCGGGTCTTGATACTCATTCGATGGTACTCAAAGCCACAAATTCAATTACTTGTTTAGTGGTGCTCAAAACCACAAATTCAATTACTCGTTCAATGGTGTTCAAAGCCACAAATTCAATCAGTTAGATTAGAATCTATTGCGGTCAATATCATGTAACTAGGGGTGTAAATGGACCGGTTTCGGATTGGATGGACCAATAAAAGATGTATTAAATATTGAATTGGACCAGTCCAGATTTAATGGTCCAAAGTATTTATTGAATTGGACCTGGTCCATCCATAATGGATTTACATTTAATTGGATCGGATTGAACCAATATCCGGTCCATTGATAGAAGATATGAATTCGGGTGTTAATGGACCAAGTTTGGGTTGGAATTAATCTAAATTAAAACCAATTTGAACAGATTAAACGATCCAAACATTGAATTGAATTGATCCGAAATGGTCTAGAGTACTCATCGGATTGGATTGGACCTGATCCATCTATAATGGACTCATATTGGATCGGATCGGGTTGAACCAAATCCGGTCCAATTGACACCCCTTCCTGTAACACAACACTTTTAGCTTTCTGTCATAATACATATTGATGATGCACAATCTGAATGCTCCTTGTTGGAAGACAGCTCGGACGTCGGACTAGTTATGTGGTCGGGTCGAGCTGCAAGACAAGAGAATCAGAGTGTTCCGGGGTGTTTTACCCGGTGTGGGCACTCCGATGCTTAAGTTAGCGATAGAGATTTAGAGAGCTGATAACTTGAGAGCATAAAAATGTGAGAGCTAAATCGTGCATACCTTGTGAGGTTGGAGGCAAAGCCTTTATAGGCAATCTGCCATGGGCCTTACGATGTGTGTCTGAGATCACCGGCCTGTCTAACCTAGACTTGGTTTCGCACCTGAAGATGGACTTCGAGTAAGCTGATAAAGATTATCCAGGTTTGTCCGATTCGGGTGGCAAGAAAAAATCAATTGACATACACCGTGATCCCGAGGAAATCGGAGACAACTGGCTTGCTTCTAGGAAGCTATGTGGCACCTCAACAGGTCGGTGGGTGCAGCAAACTGCTCGGGCCTCGGCCTAACTGGGTGACCCGAGGTGCCCAAGGCGACTAAGATCACTAAGGTGTTCGAGGTCGCTGAAATGTTGCCATATCATTCCGTCGCTCCACATGTCATCACATCATTGGACGGGCCAAATTATCTCTCATCACATATAACCCAAAATGTTTCAGGTGGAAACAACAATGCTACCAAACACAACCAACATTAATTTCACTCATGGTTAAAACTTGGAACAAAATATGACATTATTAGCGTGATGATATACATAATTGGACCCCCCCCAAAAAAAAACTACTGCGTTTGATAATGGTGATCTTCACCAAAATATAAAGGGTAATATGAGATATTCTACGCCAGGACTGTCTATCAGCAGAACACAGCATTTAGCTAATCGGCCAGCTTTAAAAAGGTACTGGGTGTCTATCTGGCCATGTCTCTATTTTCTCGAAATATTTGATTGGCACGACACCATCAAAACCTTCAGTCAAGATCACCTTGTTGTCTGACATGTAAAGCTTCATTTCATCTGAAATAAGAAACATATGCATCAATAATGATCCATTCCCAGGGGCTTTAATTGATCTTTGAACCCAAAACTTAAAAGGATTCAGCAGAAAATTTACCTTCCAGAGCCCTTCTAACATCCAGAAAGATCAGCAAGTTAACATCTTGCCGCATACCTGGAAGATTTTAAAGTCAAGTATACCATTAGAAGTTTGGAAATTCATATATTTCTTTCCTGGGAAAAATTAAAATATCGAAGTTCTTAAAACTTGTGAATAGAGATATGTTGAAGACTATGCCTATCTTCCCACAATAAGTAAACAAAGAACTGGAAGTCAATATGCATATCAATAAATTAATTGTTTTCAATTGTTTCAACAGAAAATATATCAGTAACATGGCATGGTAACTGGTTATTTTCCACCATGCCTTTCAGTAGTTGTTTCAATACTAACCAGGAATTAGTTGAATTGATAATTGAAAATGTCCTACGTTAGACTGTATTCATTCCACCTCCCCCAAGGCCCAAGATAGTTAGGACTAGCATCGGATAATTGATTTTTATAAACATAGATTGAAAGCTTTAAAACATAAAAATCTTTTATTTCCAGATATCCAAAAAAGAGACAAAATTTGGGGGGGAGGTATATGGACAAAAATCAAGTGTACCAAAACCTGCATAGTAAATTCCTATGGCCCTATGCAAGATAAGACCTATGATACCCAGATACCTGCACATGCCCAGCATACAGAATCAAACACGACAGGTACCTGATATGACACCATACACTATTTGCAGCTATACTTTTTATGTGACCAACAAGGTGCTAAGTGCAGGTTTGCTCTTGCCCAACCCACCCAAGTTACATCCTACTCAGACATGACCATAATTAGATTATCTCACCATGCAACCTTTCCTACTGGATTTCTATTGACAAATTCAGTCAATCAAGGCAAATGCATAGATACAATGAATGAACAATTACACACACCAACTAGCATAAAAGACTTGGGACCTGAACTGATTTCTCATTTTATTTCAGTCAAGGGTTTGTTGGGAAGAATTGAACTGAACTAATACCTATTCCATTTCAATATTCATAATGTTCCCAGTGTCCCAAGACTCCATGTAACGTGGTATACAAAATGTGTGATATTACAGACTAGGTCTCAGAGATCTCAGCTCAGAACTGTTGGGCTGTCACCTACCAAAGCTACCCAATATTTGAATGTTTCCAGTTTGACAAGAATATATGAGGTGCATAATGCAAATTGTGTAATACAGTCAGTGTTCGAACAATATAAACTAGATTCCTTCAGTTGATTGAAGGAAAATTCCATTTCCCTTCTAAAATCAGCTTTCACTTCTCTTTCCCTTTTTTTTTTTGTTTTTGTTTTCTTCTTTTCTTTATCTTTTTTTCTATGTATTGTGACAACAGAATAAAATGTGAAACCTGTGAAGTTAACAATAATACAATGTGTGAAAGAATTCAATTATTTTGGCTTACCACTAATTACACACCCATCTGTTGGCAAGCCACTTGAGAAGTGAACATGCAGCCTTTTCATACGCTTGAGACCAGACTGCAGAATTGACTCTAGATTCCTCTTATATGTTCCATGTACACATACTGCATATTTGGGGGGGGGGGGGTTTGAAGAAATTTACGGTCCTAGTCAGAATTTAATGCTATATGCAACAACGTTGAAAATACATATTAACTTCCCCTGGAAACATTAATACCTGGAGCTTCCTCAGCTGAAAGGATGGGCTTTAATAAGCTTTCCGATTCAATAGTCTGCAAAGGAGACATGAAAATTCAATTAGTTAGTTTAAAATTAATACTCTGTAACGCAGTTAACAGAATAGAATGGAAAAAGAGGGTTCCTGTGGCTGACCCCATATTGGGACAAGGCTTAGATGAGGAGTCCCAAACATGAAATTCAATATAAGAGACAGAATGCTGTAACATAACAACAAATTGCACCATTTACCCACTAAAGGGAGGAAAAAAAAGCCAATCTGCACCACTTTCAATACCAAGACCAAAAGGGCCTAACAGAGGAGGGCCACATCCCCCAGTCAGATCCAATGGGATTAAAGAATATGCTACATTATGTCCCAGTGGAATACTTCAAGAACAATCAGTGATAAAGTATTTCCAATCACCCAATAAAACTTACTACAACAGCTTTGATATTAGTAATTATCAGAGATGAAGAAATAACAGAGAGCAGGAAGAAATGAGCGGGAAAACTTGAGAGAAAATATCTTCCTTCATTTTTCAATCACAGCTGTACAACCATATATATATAGAGAGAAGTTAGTTATTGTAACCAACTCTCCAGCTCAGCAGAGGAGATAATTAACTGTCAACTACATCTACTCCTAACTGCAACAAAACAAAACAAACGTAACTAACATACAACTAATATATTTCAATTACAATCTGTATTAGTAATAAACTAGGAACAAATGCTTACAAAAGTCCCCAAAACATTTTGCTCGATATACACGCCTTGTTTATTTATATCCATTTGCCTTAAAATGCATGACAGATAAAACTCTAGAAAGAATTAAGGAAAGATCACCTCTATTGTGTGCCCTTGGTTCGCACGAATCAACAACTCACCATTTTCTTCCAAGAGGCTAAACCGCTGCTTGTTATCCTTTCTGACTGCCTGAAAATCATATATATCAAGCAATAATTCTGTTAAGGAGATCTACATAAAAACAAAATGCTCTTACAAGGGGCATTCTCTGCTAAAAACTTAAAATGTACCAGTTGAATGAAGAGAAAAAAGAACTAAGAAGAATCCGAAGGTCACAGCATATTTAGCACAAAGTCTCAAGTACTATAAAGGACACTATATTTACCCATAAAAAAAAATGACTACACCATATTCTAATAATGATACATTATATTTCCTCACAATCTATATGGCATGCTCTTCTATTTCTATGTCTTAGTTATTTGGGGTATTCTTCTGGGTATTCTTCTAATTCCATGTTTTATTTATCCTTTTGAACCTTTTACTCCTAAAACCTACAATTCAGAAATCCAAAGACATTCTCAACCTTGATAGAATCATATCCTCGGAGATATTGAAAGAGAACACAGGCTGAATTAAATAAGAAAGAATAGAAGAGTTTACAGAACTAACCTCCCTAACTTCGTTAACCGTGTGAGATCTTAGTGGGATATTAGCATATGTTTTCATGTTCAATTTCAGGAGATCATTCACCTTGACATACCCATCACTTCGGATATCCAAGTTCAACTCAAAAGCCATATGGCGCAATATGCGTGTTCTGAGAAAGTCACATAATCAAAAAACATTCTTCAACTGAATTGTATCAACTTATTTTCTCAAAAGAAAACACAATCAATTAATATCAAATTATTCCAGTTTTATATGTCATATATATTGCAGAAAAGAAAATGCACTTTTTGTTACATTTCAAATTCGTAAAAACCCAATTGGAAACAAAAGTAAAACATCCAAATGGGACAAATTCCGATGTCAACAGAAAATTGAAATCATGTTTCTGGCCACCTCACAACAAGGATAATAGAAAATAAAAAAAAAATAAAAAAAACTTTTGTTTCTGAATTTCCAATGTAGAAAACAGATTCTGCTATTTTCAGGTACCCAAAATGCAGTGAAATTGTGCTTACAATAGTCTTCCAAGAGCGTCAATTTTGTCTTTGGTGGGTCTCCTTCCGCCTGTGGGTTGTAGATGATCTTCTCTCATCTCTGAAGCCCTACCTCTACCTCCACTGCCAATGAAAAAATATAAGAAATAAAAATGCTTTAGTTTTACAGTCGTTATTATCGTTCCAAAATAGAAGAAGAGCCGGATAAAGGAAATATAAGAGAACCCGGCGAAAGGACTAGGGCTTTCAGGGAACTGAAAATCACCACCCAACCCCCAATAGCAGGAGTACCTTCTTCTGGGTAGGGCAGAAGCAGAGAAGGAGGAACTCTTAGTGGGTTCCATTAGAGTTGAGGCACCAAAACTGGTCACTAGAAATGAAGCTGTAGGAGTTGTGGAAACAGCAGCAGCAACTGTAACCGGGGAGAGGGAAGCACAGAAGCGCAGAATGCGAAGACCATGGTTGCCAGCAGTAGCCCACATGTCATCTATCGATGTACGTTACGCAGTTGCCAGTAGGGAATGGGACTTACGGACTTCGACGCTGATCCATGAGAAAAATGATGATCAAATGCTGCTGCAGCTTGATCTCACACCGCACATCTCGCCACGAGATTGGGATCCGCCATGTATGAGATGCCAACGTGAGATTGGGATCCGCCATGTATAAGATGTGCGTTGGCAGAGGGTTGAACGTTCGAATCCAACAAAACACGTTCCAATACCCTTCGAATAAGATCTGAAACCGCACATCTTAGCATGAGACTGGGATCCAGCATGCATGAGATGCATAATGTAAGATCATGTTGAGAGGGTATTGGAACATCTTTTGTTTGCAGGTGATTCCAACTCAGAAATGAGTGAGACTTTATAATGCTTGTGGGAAGATTTGCCCCTCATGTGAAATATGGGGTTCAGATATGCTACCAATCATATGCTTCCAACATGTCCCAATCAATGCACAGCTGCAATGACTTGTTGGAAGCATTTTGTTGATAGCATTAGAGGCATAAATGGATCGGATCACAATCCGGTCTGATCTTATTTTGCTGGATTTGGATATCCTCTTATCAGGTTTTTGGATCACATCGGATAATAGGATTTTATTAAAAATTATATCAAAAGAACTAGAAAATTTATTTATTTATTAATAAATATGTTTATATTGCATTTTTGTAATTTTTTATATTATTTATTTTTTATAAAAACATGTATATATGATGAAAATGTTGAAAAAATACTTGTATTTTTTATTTTTCTTTTTATGTAAACTGTTATATTTTTTACCTTTTAATAGTTTATTAAATTTCTTAGAAATTAAATCGGATTGGATCATATTCAAATATTAAATCATATTGGATCACATTCGGATACCCAACATCTTTAACATATTCATATTCAAATTGATGTTTATGAGATCGGGTCGGATTCAGATATACCCTTATTCGAATCTGATATCCATTTGCATACCTAATAACATATCCTACCCGTGTTCAATAACATGGTTGGTTTTGTTTTGAAAATAAAAACAATTGCCATGTCAGAAAAATTATATTGTTTTTTCATGACATGGTAGTTGTTTTTGGTTTGGAAAACAATTTTTTTTTTTTGTATGGAGGCAAGCAAAGATAAAGATATAAAAGTTAGCAATTATTATCAAATTTATCCTTTTATAACCTGCAACAAAATTAAGGTAAGCATCCCCTTTAAAATGGTATAGATGTTTTTTTTTTTATAAATAAAATTTAGACATTTTGTTTTTTATTACATATTAATACTATACACCAAAGGGGAATTGGTGTGAGATAGAGTAGGGTGCAAGAATGGCAACGAGGTAGGGCGGGGATGGAGAGCCACTCCCCATTCCCTGCTAGCAGGGACAAGGTTATCCCTATCTCAGTCCCCATGGGGATCTCCATTTATGTGATTTTTTTTATAATGTTAATCTTTCTGTTTTTGTTTTCTTATTTTATTTAAAAAATTAAAAATAAAATAATTAAAATTTACAGTCTTATTGAAAAAGATACAAATATATTCAAACATATTCAACCTATTTTTAAAATAGTAATATATGCATACATATATAGATACATGCATACATACATATATATATGCGGGAATCTCCACAGGGCAGAGATCGGGGGCTTTGCGGAATGGAGAGTGCTCTCCCCATCCCCACTCAATCCTTGCCAACGGGGATAGAAATTTCCCCATCCCCATGCCCCGCCTCATTCGGGGCAGATTCCCGGAAATGAAGAAAATTATCATCCCTAATAAGATGCACATGAGATCAATTGGCCTTACCATAAAGAGTCGGTTTCCACATGTTTGGTCCTGAGAGTCCAATCTAGAGGGGTAATCGGTGACCATCTCAACAATTGGATCACCGGAAAACCTGTATATTTTGTTAGGAACTTACAATCGACATTGTAAATTTATGGGGAAAACTTTGGTTGTTTTGGGAATGACACATTACTAATTCAAGTTGTTTATTATCTTTTTAATTAAAAAAAATGGGATTATCTTTTTAATTAAAAAAAAATATGGGTGAGAGACTTAAAACATATCCTGGGTCTTCGTAAATCGACTCAAGATGCAGAGGCTGAAGCCTCCAAGTAGGCTTGTATATATAGACCAAACTTTGGTGTTGGATAGGAACAAGCATACTCGAGCTGAATCAAATGGCTGATTCATGAAATAGTAGGGGAAGAGAAGATGTTGGATCAATATAATTTGGATTAAAATAGGAGGCCGATGGATGTATAATGCAGTAGTGGGGAGGTAAATTAAAATAGGGAACGAGTGGGTAAGGGTGACACCAAATTGCAGTTGGGTAATGGTGGCGGTGTTGCAAGTTGAAGGAACGGACAAAAGGAAAGAAGGAAAGAAAGAAGAAGAACAAGAAGAGAGAGAGAGAGGTCTTGCTTTACAGAAGTTGGTGGTGGTATTTTGAAGGAGAGAGAGGATGAACAATGTCTGGGTCTTTCTAGTGTGCAACTGTCCACTTAGTTTGCAGTTGAGTCGGAATCAAAATCTTTTAGAATAAAAAAATGGAATGGTTTATTTTCATAATCTGTTTGGTTCAGACATTAATTGAAATAGGAATTGGAATCAGTTGGAATGTGATTTCATTCCCAAGGGAAGGAGAGGGAATGGCCATTTTTTGAAATGGGAAAATGCCATTCCACCAAGAATGGGAATGTCGGAATGGGATTCCAATTTTCCCCAACCAAACAGTTGGAATTAGAATGGCCAATTTCAATTCCGATTCCAGACCCCTATTCCCGTAAACCAAATGGGACCTTAAATATACTTCATGGCTGTAACAGACTTTTTACCCTCAGCATTCTTCAAATTTTCAAAAAGAACTTGGGGTCATTTGAGGGAATGGCCATTCCCTCCCCTTCCCTTGGGAATGAAATCCCACTCCAACTGATTTCAATTTCTATTTTGATTCCTGTCTGAACCAAATAGATTATGGGAATAGACTATTTTAATTCTAATTCCGATTTCAAGTACAAACAAAAAAGACCCTTAAAAGACTGAACTAGGTTAGGAAAAAGAGTTCGACTATGATATAGAAAAGATATGGTATCTGAAAAATAACTGACAAATAAACCAGAATCATATACGTTGTAGAGAACATGGTGTTATTTATCGAAATTCATGGGTGGGTTTTGATTGGTCAAAACTCTTTCCATACCATATATTTCTCATATCATATTATATTTATTTTGTAAATAATCAATGTAACATATCAAAAGCTTTTACATAGGTTCTTTTATTTAAGTTAGGGAACAAATTAGATTAATTTACCATTTTTTCTGGAGACCAAATCTACTCTTCACACCAACCTCATAGGCACATCCTACCATGTGTGGGGAACATCTTCCGTACTTATGTGTTATTATTTACAAAAAATATTCTCAATCCAATGTGTATGTGAGGTCGTTGGGAGGCACCCTTGCAGATCCCAATTAGCACATCACATGTTAAAGAGAAAAATCCTTTTGTGGTGCTATGATGATGCAAGAAGCTATCCTCACGAACTTGACCTTCGTTTCCTAGCTAGCCAATCAACAATGCAATTTCCATCTTTGGGAGTATGGTTGTGGGAGATCCTTGCCTCCAGGTTGTGAGCTATTTATTTGTTTGCAGTCTTTCAACAAGTAAAAGTCACATCCAAAGACACTTTAGCCCTTCACTGAAGAAATTTGATGACTACCAACGAGTCACCTTTTATAATATTAATAGACGAGTAGCCTGTCTATGGGCCGGCCTTAAAGGCAGCTCTCATTTCAGCCATAGTACGTAATTGGTGTATATCCTATCTTCCCATCTTAGCCATCATGACCTCCCCTTTATGGTTTCTCATGATGCAACTATAAGCGCAATTACCATCTTCATTTGCAGATGCATTGAAGTTGATATTTATTGAGCCATGGTTCCAGGGGTTCCATCGAATCCGAAATCCATTTCGTATCATGATATACTAAGAGGAGATTGGGGGGAATGGTTAGCCTTAATATAATCTATAATCTTTGGAGTAGAACCCAACTCTTGTATCAATTTCTTGAGGGAGAAAGAATTGTTCTTTAGGTTATGTTTGGTTATAATGCAAATAAATTTGAACTGATATAAAATCATGACAGTGCAAATGATTTGAGTGTAAATTCTGACCTTTTTTTTGTTTTAAATTTTAATTTATTTTGTTTAATTGAAGTATAAATAAAATAAATTAAGATAAGGAGCAGAATAAAAAAATTCCCAAATACAATTAAACATCAATTTGCATTTGTACTAGTGCAAATAAATTTGCACTGCAACCAAATACAGCCTTGGAAATTTTTTCTTTCCTGTTTTTCAATAGGAACCAGAATAGTGTAGCCACTCTTTCTAAAATTCATTGGATCTTTTTGTGTAGTTCCGGGTCAGCCCAAAGTTGACCAATATCTTGATCCAGTAGGCACTAGCATCCAAACTTGGGTTACAACTCGTGGTTTTGCTAGGATCTATATCATCCATTTGACCACAAAAAGGGCACTTTGGGCCGATGTTTAGCCCTCTTTTGACAAGGTTTTTAAAATCGAATCGAATAATGAATCGGTCAAGGGTTTGGTTCCTGGGTCAAACGTTCCAACCGTTTGAACCGAATGGATGACTTGTCTAAAAAAATATAAAACAGTCAGAACCATAGAACAGTTTGAATGATTCAACCACCTGGGTCAGCGGTTTGCTGACCAAATCAATGTTTTTTGGCAAAATAATGGTTCTAAGGTAAAATGGAACCAGTCACCCTGGTTTTTCTAGCCAACTGTTTGGTCCAATCTGATTTTGAAAACCATGTTTTTCCTCATCAAAATCTTATTTTGGATGAGAAGCCACAAGAATATTTTTATCTTCTCAGCACAAAGGATGTTTTGAGCACAACTTATTAGTTTGGCCATTGTTTGGTTCAATGTTTTATTTTTCCTCAAGAAGTTATAAACTGTTTTTACCATGAGGGCTCCACTTGGACAGGAACCCCATACCATCGAATGATCCTTATCACCTAAAGGCATGAGGATTGCTTTGATTTTGTCAATACAATCACTAGCTACTATAGCAATTAACTTCATTTGATCTCATGTTTGTATGTGATCCAGGTTTAAAAGTTTTGGCATCCAAAACACGTTCTAAATGATTATGAGCAATACAAGCAGAAATACAACATTCATCATTGATACCAGAAGCAAGGTTCAAAATATCGATATGCCCGATACACAGGTAGGGGCATATCAGGCGAACCGACACTGTTTTTTGTTGTTTTTTTTTCACAATCGGTTCAGGGGGGCCGATTTAGGGCTCCTCCACACCCTGAACCGGTCAGACCCCCAATACACCCACTGTAAGGGCATATCAGAAGGGTCCCGGAACGATACGTATTGGCCGATACGTGTCGATACTTTAAACCTTAACGAAAAGCATCAAAATTAATTTTTATACTGCCCGGGGCAGGAGAATTCCATATGAGGTTTCCAATTCTTTACTAAGAGTCCTATGGATGGGTCTTTGCAATTTTCCATGTCTATAAATTCTCACTTTAAGATTTAGATTTACTTGATCCCAATCCTTATCATTAAAAATTTCTTTTAGAGGATTGGAATCTACCCAATTGTCCTACCAAAAATTTCAAGTTGCCCCGTTTCGTATTCTCCACCCAATCCTTTTCTTAAGGATGATCTTTTTCCATTGTTAATTTTTTCCAAGCCTAAGAGCTTGATTTTGGGGCTTTGTAGTTAAGGAAATCCTCATCTTTCATATATATTTGTTTTTTCTTATTACTTTGACGCAAAGGTTGTTATTATCCATTATGATTTTCTAACCTAGTTTTATTAGCTTGGTTTACTTGGGTTAGTTTCCTGATTCCTAACCCACCAAGTTTCTTGTCTATGTAAACTGCATCCGAGTTGGTGAAGGCAAATGCCCTATTATTTTGTTTTACCCCTAGAGAAACTGTCTTTGGAGTTTGTTTATTTCCTTTGTTAACTTCTTAGGAATTCCGAACATGCTCATTTCATATTGAGCTAGATTTGCAACCACGATTTAAGAAGGGTTATTTTTCCTACTAACAAGAGGGTTTTACTCTTCTAGCTAAAGCCAAGTCTTTTTTTGCTACTCTATTTTATTAAGGGGGCACCTAAATACTTTTCCTCCTTGTTTGTCCTTGGTATCCCTACCATCCTGGCCAAAATTCTTTGGAATCTATTTGGCACATTCTGACCCAAAGGTTGAAAAATTCTTTTATTAAGTGACCCAGGCAATAATATAAAACCGGGTCGAGTTCATTCATTGGTTTTTCAATTAAACTAGCTGATTAACCAGTTTTGGTTGATTTTTATGAACTCCTATTTTTGGGTGTGATCAAACCGGTTAACGTGGGTCACGATTCAACCAGTCCAACTAGCTGATCCGGTCCAGTTTTCCAAACACTATGATATGAAAGTACAAAAAGCATGACATGTTTGGTTTGAGTGTTTTACATTTTTACTATTATACTTTTCAAAGTACAAAAAACATTAAAGACACGAAGTAGGTTTTTGATATTTCATGCTTTTGCCACATGCCTATATTCTATATATATATATATGATTACACGTGACAGTAGTGTCACCGCTATGTGATTGTTATATGATTGTGCATTCAAACCATTTATAATTACCAAGTGACTTTCAAGTAATAACTTAATATCAATGCATATCAGTTTTCCATTTGAATCCCCACCATTCCAATACGCTAAATACTAAGAATGAAGACATGTGACCATTTTGAGAATTATACCTTTACTAAAGTCTAAAGATGCCTTGGCTCAATTTTTAACGTTGAAAAAAATTTAAATCTAAGAGTATCACCCCTTTAAATAGCATAATAATCAATTTTTGTGCATCACACGTACCCATACTTTGAACCTTGATTGGGATTTAGAGATGCATTTACACGAGATCTGATAGTAATATGTAGGGAATTTGCAACTCGGAAGAACATGACTCCCCCTGAATGCAAAGAAGCTGCCACTATTGATGATGATCATCTCTTAATGGAGGTGAACTAATAACGTGCATTGAACATTGAAATTTGTGTTACGCCTATCAATCAATAAAGAATGGTCTTATAAATGGTCTGCAATCATATACTTGCGAGTTGCGACAGGTGAAGGAATGCTTTTGCTAATAAACCAGACCATTTGCCACCAACTGAGGGGTAGCTTAGTTGGTGCACCGGATGAATTGTCCCAGCGATGGTGCAGTTTCGAATCCTGCTACTATAAAAAAAAAATTAAAAAAAAAAACAGACCATTTGCCATAAGCGTAACTTTGAACATGCTGGAGAATGTACAGAAATTTACTGTGTAAACAGTGCACATGCAGTATGGAACAACATCCAATTAGTAATCACGTGGTTAAATGATGAGGTTCATGACTCTCCAGATGGTATCTCAGTTCAAATAATTCAGCAAATTCACTTGTCACATACACCATCTTAAAACACTTACATTGAGTACATGACTACTCATGCCTTTAAATTTTCATCTTACAAGTCTTTGTTAAAAGAACTGAGAGTTTTGACTTTTAACATCCTAATTTAAATTAGTATTTACTTGGAGCAGATATGGTGATTCATGTTGCCTAAAGATACATCAAAACTCTAGAAATGGAAAAAGTGAAGGGGTGAGGGGCAAAACAAGACAAGGTACTCACCAAAAAAGAAAACAGTAATGAAAAAACCTAAAAAGGAAGGCAAACCTGAGGCATTAGTGATGAGAAACTGAGAAGACAGAAAATTTACTAGTGACCACCATTTGTGTCGCGATCCATTTCCTCTGCATCCTCAAAACGTTGATCATTAATCTGAAGCTGAAATAATTAAGAAAACCCATCAAAGAATGTCCACATATATTCTCCATGCAGTCACAAGAACCATATCAAGCATTGTATTGACTAATGGATAGTGGCAAATTTCAATACCATAACATTAAATAGTACTAAGGGTTGGGTGTCACAGGTACTTGATGCATTTATATTAACAAAAGGATAAACGAGAATAAAAAGAAGACACCAAGCATCATATTGACTATTGAGTAGGGGCAAATTCAATGCTGTAACCTAAAAGAGCACAAAAGGGTTGAATATGATAGGTACTTAAAGCGTTTAACAGAAGGATAAACAAAAAGAAAAGGGAGCATCAGAAAATAAACCAAATCCACAAGATCCTTGCAAATGACTCTCCTGATGTATGGATGATGCAGCAAATCTGACCAGCATACGCAGATTATTTGGGATTGGGACATGACAACTATTATACCAAAAGGGCTATGTTTAACCAATCACAACTGCTTCACGCATAACAGACAATAACCTTCTGTCTTCACTTCTTGTGGCAAATTAGGCATCGGTACATAACAAGGAGAGGAAAAAGTAATCTATTTTTTCAAAGTGGAGGAAAGAATTGTCCAGCCAAAAATCAATGATCATGAAGAGGATAAGATTGACAAAACAGGCTGATCCCTTCAAGTCAACCACTCAAGAATCAAGACAGCTCATGTGTGCACAAAGTTGGGTTTCATTTGTGGACAGGATAGGTCAACATCTTAAAGCAAGGTCATTTCAATTCAACAAAACCTTGCCCTAACAATATTAGGTAAGCTGCAGTAATCCTAATCCATACTATCATGGTGATGTAGTATGGGATTCGGACCAACTGAGTAAACATTTACAAAGTTGGTTTTCGAAGACCTATTTTAGTACATATAGGAGGAAAGTAGTATTTGATGTGGGAGATTATGTTTGGGCCATTTTAACAGAGGAATGCCTACCGGTTGGGCAACATGAAAAGCTGGCACCAAGGAAGGTTGGACCATACGAGATAGTTGAAGTTATCAATGAGAATGCTTACAAACTAAAGCTACCTAGCCATATACGTACCCATGATGTTTTCAATGTCAAACACTTGGTACCATATGTTGGTGATCAGTTAGATGATTATTTGAATCCAAGGACAAATTCCCCCCAACCCGGGGAGGATGATGTGTACAGGAGAAGGCCAATAAGTTCTATGCAAGTTGGGACCACTCCAAGACACATAAGAAGCTTGGATGACGTCACTAATCCAACCAAGTAATCAATTACCAAGTTAGCGCCAACGCAAAACTTTTCTTCTGGTTCGAATTTACCAAGTTAGCACCAGCATGGAATTTCCATCTTAGTTCAAATTTACCAAGATAGCGCCAGCACAAAATTTCCATCTTAGTTCGAATTTACCAAGATAGCGCCAGCACAGAATTTCTATTTTACTTCGAATTTACCAAGCTAGTGTTAACACAGGACTTCTATTCTAGTTCATAATTACCAAATTAGTATTAGATCATATTTTCGAATGTTTGTTCAATTAGGATTTTCTTTTTGAAGAGTTTTAGTAGGATTCTATTATGGAGTATTTTCATAGATTAGGAAGCTTTCTTGTAGGAGCCATAAGGGTGTATGCCTATATAAAGAATAGCTAGGGGAAGGCTAAGATAGTTTTTGATATTGAATTTTCTCTTAATTATTCAGTGAAGAATTATTTTTCCTAGTAGTTCAACTTCTACTCTTTTCTTTGAAGTTTTTCTCAATGTGTTTTGTTTCCGTACTGCGCCACATGGGCCATATCCTCCCCCAGAGTTACGAGCTCTCAGATTATTTGACATTAACTCAACCTGTCTTTCACCCTTCCCTGACTCTTATTGAACCACCATCAGTTTGCAACAGAATGCTTCTTACTGGTGAAGGTGGTTTTCCATGCATTGGAACCATCAACTTGCATTAGATCATTTCTTCTTACTGGTACAGTAGGTGGTTCTCCATGCACATGAACCATCAACTTGCATCAGATCATTAGTTCTACTAGTGCAGTAGGTGGTTTCCCATGCACATGAACCATCAACTTGCATCAGATCACTTATCACTACAGCAACTACTCCTAATTTCCCACAAATGCACTCATTTCTAATCCTACCGTCTGTAGTTTACCTTTCATCCATCTCAACACCCTTATCTCTGCTATGCTTGATTCGTTGCATGTTGCCTCTTCATTGCTCAGCACTTCACTCCATTTAACATTGTAGGCTTTATATCTATCTTGTAACATTTTCCTTTCAATCCTAACTAATTCATCACTTCAATATTCACCCATAAATTCTAAACATGGTTTTCCTATTTCTAAAAGAACTTCGAACTACCAAAAAATTAGCCTATGAAAATCATAATGAAAGTGTTAAAGAAACTTCTACAAGAACAAACCTTGCAATAAAATAAAACCACATCAGTAAATTAGCAATAACAACTTTGCATGATCTCTAGTTAAATATAATATAACTAATTCAAATCATAAGAACAAGTCCTAAAAATAAAGCCACAAGAAAATCGAGTCAAGTGATAGATACAAGAGCTTCCCTAAACTAAATAATTCTTCAAAAAGACTCCTGATCTAACTAAATTTGCACACTATCAGTAAAAACAACATTCTTGTTGCTGAAAAAAACAACATTTAATCATAAGAGGAGAACACAGAATCCATGTCAGACCACAGAACTACCATAAGATCATCTTCAAAATAATAACAATGACGCCAACTATAATTAAAAAAAATTAATGAACTTCCTAGGGCTTCCCTCAGGCCCATGCATCCTGTGAAGTTCCCCATTGAAATGCCCTCTGATATATGAACCAACTCAACCTAAAACAAGGTCCAGTTGGGACATTGAAACAAGGCCCATGCCAGGGATCATGGTTCAGGAAATCTTTGTTAGGACTGAAATTATTTAAGGTGAACCTAGCCCAACTGCCCAAATTGCAACCCATAATTTCAAAAGATAACCGCATCACCAGGCTTGCATATATGCACCAGATATTAATTCTAGAACCTACGCAAAAATTGCTATTTGATTATAGGAGATATGCACCTTGCAAGTCTTCCCAAAGATGATAAGAGATCACCATAATCACAATCTAAGCCTGTCCTAACAATATGGGGTCAGCCAAATGAATCTTGTTGCACCATTCTGTTCTGTTCAGTGGCATATCCAATGTTAAATTATGAGCACTTAAATCATTTCTTATTACTTGAACCCATGTCCTTTTTTGGTCTGCCCCTAGCCCTTCTAGACCTTTCAACTTGCAACAGATTGCTTCTTCTTAGGGGTGCCATATGGTCTTCCATGCACGTTTAGTCTACTTTCAGTCATTTTATTGCCTATTGGATCTACTCCTAGGTTCCTTCAAATGACTTCATTTCTGACCCCATCCTTTCGACTTTTTCCATTAATCCATCTCAGCATACACATTTCTACCACACTCATTATTTGGACATGTTGTTTCTTGACTACCCAACACTTTGATCCATACAACATTGCTGGCCTTACGATTGTTTTTTTTTTTGTTTTTATGAATGAATCTGGCCTCACAATTGTTTTATAGAAATTTCTTTTTGCCCAAGTAGTATTTGCACATCAAATAAGACTCCGGATGATAGGAGTTTCAAGATTGGATGTTTCATCCATTTGGGCACACATATAAGGTTCAAAATGGAAGCATAATTTAATTGTCAGGTGTTTAAATATATTCCCATGGTTAACTCTCAGCAAAATGCTGGAGTTGCTGGTTTCCAAAAGGAACCCAATGCTCAAAATAATTAAAAGTTCTAGAACTCCCCTAACCTACAAATCTGACAGTCCAGCAAACATTCTTGGAAATAAGTTGCTTCAACTCAGCTCCAAACATGGCCGTCCCTAGGAACCTTTTACTAAACAAAATAGCATAGTAGTCCCGAAGGATACAGGAACTGATAGAATCAAAGTAAAAGAATATCAGAAGACTAAGAGATCATCAGCTCAGGAGTCTTCAAGCACAAGAAACAAATAAAGGGCATCAGTGCTGAAGCCAGAATAGCACCATGTAAATGATATCAAAATTAGCAACAAATTCTTTCCTCTCAAGATAACTAGATCTCAATTTTCATGTTACGGTCATCTGCAAAAGCAAAATACTGGAAACTTCATGTTAGGAGAGTTTGTATTACAGCCAGTTCGATGTAGGACCAGCCTCAGTTTTGCATGTCCAAGATTGGTATGCATATCCTAACTTCCAAAACCCTAGAATCTCTTTTCTTGCCTGCTCTGTCCCTTGTTCTTGAATCTTGACATTTGACTCCGAAAGATGGGGAAATAGCACAAGGGTGGAGTAAGATAATCGAATCTCTGTTTGGAGATAGAAATGGCAGCTGGCATCCCAAACAGGTTACAACTTTGTATCACTGCTTGGTTTGGAAGTGAATACAAAAGACATATAATTATTTCATCAAGGGGATTGCATACAAGGTAGGTAGGCAGTGAGTCCAGAATCCACTACTGGTTGGATGACTGGTTGATAATAGGTCTCTGATGAAACTTTTCTGAAACCTATATGCAATTGTAGAAAACATGATTCTGCAAAAAAAAATACATGAATAAGATATGGAACCAATTGTTGGAGTCAATGACTACTTTGTTGGGAGATAGGAGAGATCAGGTATGTTTTCAGTGAAATCTTTTTTTAAGGCAGCTGACAGCCTGACACCATTAATCAACAATATATTCCATAAAAAAACAAACTGTTTAGGAACCCTTGGTGCCATCTAAAATTGCCTTCATGACATGGACTATGGTTTTGGGGAAGTGTCTACCCTAGGACAAAATGATAACTATAGGTATGGAAATTCCTACATCCAGCTGCAGATTTTGTAATTGTGGAGTTGAATTGGTGGACCTTTTTTTGTTCATTGCCCAGTCAGTTCAAAGAACTGGGGCTATCTCTTGAATTCTTTCAATCACTCAGTAAGAATTGAGTTGTCCTAATAACAGTTCAAGAGGCTTTAAAAGGTTGGTTTGTAAGATTTTTAAAAGGGACAAGACTGCATTCAATTCCCGCAGCAGTAACATGAGCATTAATGTCCATATCTCAAGTTATCAAAAAATAGCAAGTGATGGGATGAACTAGAACCTTAGCAGCTATAGGAAAAGGAACGGCTCCTATTATGCTGATTAGAGTCCTAGTACCAGTATGACTACTGTCTTCACTGGTTTAGAAGTCTCAAGTATGCAATGGAAAAAGACAAATAAAGGCAAATTTCAACCTTCACGGGAGGAGTAAGGATTAGCTGAATGCAATAGCTGTTCAGCAGGCTGTGGAACCAATGCTATATTTCCACAAAAGTAATAAAATACATGGGACCCACAACCAATTAATTTCTCACTGTGGGCCCTATGTACTTTTTCACTGGTGTGGGGCATTACCATTGGTTCCACAGCCCACTGAACAGCTATCGCGTTCATACAGGTTCATACAGAATGCCATGACAGGTTCACACAGAATCCTGATAAAACTAGAAACAAATGATACAACAGAATATAACAACTAAGAAACACAGAAGCCATACCTCAAGCACTGTACGGGCTAGGTCATGATTGCCATTTGAGTATCCTATGGGGTTAGCAGGATTTTCAGAGAGTAGACATTCAGAATCATCCACTCCATCTGGAAAGGCCAGCATATGTAGATATTACTTGTCAATACTAACTGCTGAGAGATAAGATAAACTTTCAGGAGTGTTTCCTAACTGGACTAACCTGTGGCTGCATTATCATCTTCCATTTGATCAGCACTAAAAATCCAGTTGTGTTCTTCCTCTATCTCTGGAGAAATGATAGATAAGGGTAAAATATCTTAAGAGTGATATCGAAATGAAGAACGGAGAATGTCAGGGAGAAGAGCGGTTGAAGAATTAAGAGAGGTAGCAATGTTGCCTCCTAGCAATCAGCAAAGTATTATAGGGTATAGAAGAAGATTAGTATTCACCTTCATTAGGATCAGGATTTAGCTCCGCACACTCACAGAATATATTGAAGAGGGAATCCACTAAGACACAATAAAGCCAATAAAAGATAATTAGTAATCAGTCCCCAACATTGGCCAAGTAAAATATCTGCAGAAAGAAAAGAAACATCTGAACAAGATAAAAGCATATTAATCATTTCATTTATTTATTTTTGGATAAGTACATTAAGCATTTTATATTGTGAAGGCTAGAACAGAAGAAAACTATAGACATAAGAACGAAGAATACATTGGCTGGGATCAGATGGAACAAGCCTCATCTCAGTGATCTTGGATAAATCAAGGGTATTGCATTCTGAATCTGATCCTTCTGAGTCTTCATCATCGTCATCTTCCGTTTCAATCTTCATAGAGAATGATGGTATCAATTACTTTATACGCCAATAGAAGGAAGAATTATCTGAAGAAATAGTTCCATAAAACAGAGCTTCTGATGAACCATGCATTTCCTGCTTAGATTACTATCTTCTTCACAATCTAAATCTAACCAATAAGAAAATCAACAAATAGCAACAATAACAACAATAACAACAAAACAACAACAACAACAACAACAATAATAATAATAATAATAATCTATCCTAAATTATGGAAAGCATGGGAATAAATGAGGATGACATTTCTTTTCTTTATTGGTATTCCAAATAAAGTTTTTCCTGATTCTTGATTCTGCCATTCAACTGCAAGTAGTACGTCAGTATGTGTCCTCTCCCTGCTAATTTTTCTGTTTAATGATCATTTTGGGGGTAGAAGTTTGAGGATCAACACAATGATAAGTAACACAATTGCGTTCAGGGAATAAACATTACAAGTGTCAAGCCAAAACTCAAAGCTTTCTTACTTGAGCACAAGATAATCAATTTTAATCTTAAACCTCTAAACCAAACCAGGACCTGAAAGTTGAGCAAGCTAAACCAATTGAAAAGCATCGCCAATACAAAATGATTTAGACGTGGGGGAAGGGGTTACCTGAGTATAGATACAAGGAGAGGGATACGCTTCCGGATCCCTGGATACAGCGTGCAGTGACACCGACAAGAAATTGACGGCGTAACCTCGCTCCTTTTCTACGTCGCTCAACCACACTACTTGCCTGCAAAACCCACCAAAGAAAGCACTCTCAAAACACGCTGTGAGTGAGAATGAGAGAAACAGAGAGATGTGAGAGCTAGTAACCAACTTGGTGGTGATGTACAAGGTTCCGACAGACTCAGGAGCTCGGTTGCCGAGAACGATGGCAACTCCCGGTTGAACATGCATCAATTCTTCACCGTTGTCAGCATCCAGAATTGGTTCTCCTGCACCCTCTCCGATTCTCTCAGTGAATCTTCGTAGCCCCATGACCATCTCTAGTAACCCTAATTCCTCGTCTACTGAATTTGCTTGCTTGTGCCTTGTGCCTTACCACTGTTTAGTTTCCTTTGTTTCGTTACGGCGCCAAAACCAAATGATTTTTTGCCTTTCACTTGTGACTTGTGCATACGGCGGAGAAACTTGCGTCGGTCGTGCGCGCGTGGTGTGTGCCCTCGTGGCTCGTGCTTTTAAACATGTGCAAACCGGGCCGGCTCTGGTCGAGTTGAGACAAATCCTTATTCAACCCGAATTTACCCAAACCCGATGGCATATGGTTAGGCTCGGGTATTGGTAAAACGCCCTTCATTACTTCTCGTACTGTTGGATCAATTGATTAAAGCCATGCTTGGGAGTGCTTATTTGAATAAGCATTTATTTGGGACGGAGTATATTAATAAGTATTAATCTGCATTTGGGAAATAAGTTCAAATAAATCTTTATTTTTTGAAATTAAATCAATTATTCAAGAAAGCTTATTTTTAAGTGATTATTTCTTTTGTGGCCCATTTTGATCTGCCACATCATTTTCAAAATATCTATAATACACCTGTTTGAAATAAGTGTTTTTCGCCAAAATGAACGCTTATAAGATAAATACTTATTTATCAAATATACACTCCCAAATTTAGCTTTTTGGTTTGTTTTGGCATTAATATGCATAGAAGGACCAAATTACGGTGATTTGGGAGTGCTCCCACTACCTAAAAAAAATGTCGCATTTGAATTTAACATGAATTCAACTATGATGTGGAAAAGGTGTGATACCAAAAAACACTAATAACCAATTGGTATGTAAGCTGATTCGAGTAAAGGTGTGGATTCAATTCCTGCTATCACCTATTTTGGGAAGGGAGTTATTACTTATTAGTCTGGTGTTGGGTTATTGGTGAATATTTTTTAGGGAAAATTTCTGGTTAGTATTCTGTACTTTGGATATAGTGTCACTTTGGTCCCTAAACTTTAAAATGTGGCAATTCAGTGTCCAAGCTTTCAAAATGTGTCGATCCGGTACCTGTCATTAAGCAGTTGTTAAACAGCCATTATGTTGCATTTGAGACAAATGCCTTTTGAGTGTCATTTAATTTTCTTTATCAAACATGCAAATGTTGACAAAAAATGAACATTCCCAAATCCTTGCCTCCTCTATTCAAGAAAGTTGAGGTCATGTCTCGGTGGGCATTTTGGTGACCTCAACTTTCTTGAATAGAAGAGGCAAATATTTGGGACTGTTCATTTTTTTGTCAATGTTTTGACGGTTGATAAAGAAAATTAAATAACACTCAAATGGCATTTGTGTCTTTTTCAAATGCCACTTAATGCTTGGTTAACAACTGGTTAATGGTAGGTATTGGATTAACACATTTTGAAAGTTCCGGTACTGAATTGTCGCGTTTTAAAGTTCATGAAGTAAAATAGCATTAAGTCCAAAGTACAGGGTACTAATCAGAAAATTTCCCTATCTTTTTTATGTATGTATGTTCAAATTAGATAGGTTTTGAAACATGAGGGAAAAAATATGATTTTAGAGTCAAGGTATGATTCACACATTATCAAAATGAAATTTATTTGCCCCCTTTTTGTTTTCTAAGTGGAATGCGAGATAGTAGACTAGTAGTCACCTAAGAAACCAGGACATTGGATTTGGTACTCACAAAATTGTGCTTACACCATTCTCATAGCCATTTCCAGCCATGCATTGAAAACATCTCCATCACAACCCATTTCAGTTGTGCATTGGGAACATCTCCCCATGAATAAAAAGATACAAATATGGAGATGTTCACAATGCATAGCTGAATAAAGGCTATGAGAATAGTGTGAGCACAATTTTTGTGAGGACTGAATCTGCCCTCTGAAACCATATTTGTTTCTCATGAAACGCTCTTCACACTAATCTTATAGCCCATCACAGCTATGTATTGGGAACATCTCCCATGAATGACAATATAAAGTACAGGAGATGTTCCCAATGCAGAGACCGGATCTGCTCCTCACGGAGGGCGCCTCACACGCACATCCTACCATGTATTGGGAACATCTCCCGTATTTTTAAGTTATTATTTACGGGAGATGTTCCCAATGCATGGTGGATGTGCATGTGAGGTGCCCAAGTCTAAGGAGCAGATCCTGTCTCCCCAATGCATGGCTAATCCTCACCTATCTACAATATATTCTAAAATGAAGTTATCAACTTCAAACTCCTTATATATTGCTTTTTAATCTTTTTAGAATTTCATGACTTTTTAGAATTTTTAAAGTTAAAAATAAAATCTATTTCTATATTACCATTAAAAGTGTAGATGATAGTGTAGAATTTTTGTTTAACTAAAATACCCCAATTTTTATTTTAGTATATTCTTTCATTGAGTTTATATTAATTAATCATATAAAAAATAAGTGTAACAAAGTATAATTATTTTTATTAGAAATAAAATACAATTTTAAAACCAACCAAAAAAGGAGGAGTTCTTTTCTTATTTGGCGACGAGTCAACAATTCAACCTTTTGGGTTAAAATGTGTCAATCCTTGATGTCATAATTAAAAGATAATAAAAATTAAAAAAAATGAAAGCACACGAAAGTTTAAAAAAATACAAAAAATGTAAAAACATCTGGGCAGTTATCTAATATCCTATATTCATCATATCAAACAAAAAAAGTGTGATGTATAAAAATAATTTTAATAGACATAAAAATATAAAAATAATTATATAAAATTTTAGAAACATATTATTTACTATCATCATTATCATCACCATAAAAAATTATCACGTGCAAAAGCACGCATGCACTTCCTAGTATTAAATATGGGGTTATTTAAGTTCATCCGCACCTAAATTCATTTAATAAATTGAATGTAACATTGGCATCATTTTAACATCAGCCATGTCTGAGACAAAAATGGTGTTTTAGGGTAACCTAGTGTCATTTCCCCATGAAATAAAGACATAAGAATGGAGATATTCCAAATGCAAGGCTGTAAAGGCTGTTCAAACGGGCGTTGCACTGACCAAAGCCCAACTCTTGTAAGATTTGTCTTGATTTTTACTTTCAGTAAATTTGTTTAGAACAACCTCGCATAGGTTAGGATTTACTTTTTTTAATAGTTTCTAAGTTAACTGTATCCATTGGGATCTGTTGGCATCAATAATGCATGTTAACAAGCTGGTAGCATGCATTCAAAATATCCCCATGATTGATAATATATTTGTATATAGGAGATGTTTGATGTTTTCGAATGTACGACTGGATTTCATGCTGCTAGTGTGTCAACACACTTTTTGCTGTGATTAAAGCCCCCTTCAGTGATGCTATGAATTGCAACCAGTGATCATAAGAAATGTCAAAAGGAGTCTAGCTTTATATTGACGTTGTTGAAGTTTGATTTATAGGTAATAGATACAATTTGCTACAAAGAGAGATTATGGTTGAACTAAACAAGTTTTCATTTGTTTTTGAAATTGCCGCATAAATGGAAAAAAAATAACGAAAACATGCTCTTGGAAGTTGGAACTGTATATACTTTTTGTCAAGGTTCAAAAAATCATTACGTATCGGCCCCTTCCCGATATGCCCCTACAGGGGTTGTATTGGGTCAGGGCTTGGTTTAGAGGGTAGCCAGCACTTAAGCCAACCCCTCTAAACCGGTATTGAAAAAGAAAAATAAAACTTATAAAAAGGCCAATAAAGGGTAATACACCCTAGCGGCGTATCGCCCTGTATCGATACTTTGAACCTTGCTTAAACCAACTCCTCTGAACTGGTATTGAAAAATGAAATAAATAAAAATTAAAAAAGGGCCAATACAAGCCAATACACCCTAGCAACGTATCACCCTGTATCGATACTTTGAACCTTGCTTTTTATTATGAGAAGCAAAAACAAGTTGATTTTGTTTCATAAAACAATTTGTGCTCTTGAAACCATCAAAATAATGGTTTTTAAGTCAAAGACAAATGGAAAAGATATTGTGTCATTAATGAAATATTGTATGATTTAAAACAAAACATATTTTTCAAACTAGAAATTCAAGAGAAACTATTTTATGTTGGTTTTAGAATCAAAGAAACATATTTACAATGAATGACATGTTTTTATTTTAAGAAACTGTTTGTTTTCAAACCTGATGGTTTTAATTGTTTTTAGAACTCACAACAAGTAAAATAATTCACATTTGAAAGACACCCCATAGCAAGCTAAAATGAAAAACAACCTTTCATGGCGATTTTCTTGAAGGCTAATCGTAAAACAAATGTTTGGATGACTAAAGAAAGTAGGGTGGAACCCAGGTACCCACAACTTTTTTTTTTGAAATGTCAAACATATAAAAAATAAAAATAAGAAAATTTGCATGTATATGCAAAATGGATGAATGAGTGTAAAACCCATTAACCCGTAATCTGCTACTTTTAACAGAGCTTGCTTTTCTTTCTCAAATTGAATCCTTTTAATCATGGTTCAAAGTATTGATATGATACGCCCCGTATTGGGCGTATCGTATCATATCATTTGAAAAAGATACGGTCCAAAACGCCTATTTCCGGGTGTTTCGGACCCCCAACTTTTTTTAATAATAAAAAACATCTTATAAGCTTCCCAAAAAAACAAACTTTGAAAAAAAAAACTAAAAAAAAGTGTGTATCAGTTGTTTCTAAGTACCGATACAATATGGCCGAAATACGTATCGTATCGATACTTTGAACCTTGCTTTTAATAAAATAAATACTAAAGTTAACGATTGGAGTTGCAAACTGAATCCTTTTGAAATTCAATAAATGTTTTTATTTTTAAGATACATATCTTAGGAAATGCATGGATACAGTGGAATGATTTTAATACATTAAAACATCAGAGAAAAACTACTATGGACTATATACTATAAAAACCACTGGAGTACATGAAACACATGGAAAATATTGAAAGATTAGTCATTGGATAGGATCAAAAGAACATGATCTGTATAACATATATACTGATATTCTTTAATGAATAATAACACTGCTGCTACAAAAAGTTTCATCATTGTATCTTCTACTAATGAATTTGTGACAACAGTTAAAACAAAGGATTTTTTTTTTATGAACAAGAGGTGCTACACAAGCCAGGGGTAGTACGTCCCCAAACATTCCATAAGCAAATTAAATCAAGCTCCTTAGGAAGACTACAAGGGTTAAAGAAATCGACCTACTAGACGAAGATATAGCTTTATTTGCAATCTAATCAGCCGCTTGATTTGCCTCCCTATACATGTGCTTGTAAGCAATACCACGCTCCAACTTGCCCCCAAATCAAATTATCTTCTCTAGGGCTTAAGGGAATAAAAATCACTTTGATTTTATTCCAAATATTTGGAGGGACACAATTTCTAATTTGGGATTCCTTCCACACACCTCTATCTTTATCGATGAAATCACAAACCATCTCATTGTCACTGAAGTGATGCTCAGGGGTTAAGGTCTCAGCTAGAGAATTCTCTTCAATCCGATTATCATTTCAAAATTTAATAGATTTGTCATTACCAACTTCCCATCTAAGGCCTTTCCTTAAAAGGTCCCTAGCATAGAGGATGCCTCTTCGAGCCCACAACACTTTTTTCCTCTTTCTTGCCTCTAAAAAATTCTCCTTGTTGAGGTATTTACCCTTCACCACTTTAGCCCACAAATTATCCTCCTCCTTGAGAATCTTCCATCACAGTTTTGCTAGGTTCGCTTCATTAATCCATTTAAGATTCCTTAGCCCCATACCCCCCAACTCTTTGGGGTGCAAACTTTCTTCCAATTCATAAGGTGGACGGGCTTTTTACCTCTATCTTTGTTCCATAAGAAATTCCTTTGAGCTTTGTCAATTTCCTCCAAAGTATTGTTGAAAAATTTAAACGATCTCATAATAAATTGAGGCATCGAAGAGGTGATTGAGCTAATAAGAGTTAGCCTTCCGGCTATGGACAAGGTGTTTTTCTTCCATCTCGAATGTCTTTTTAACACTCTTTCCACAACATATTGGAAAGTTCTCTTTGTTACCCTTGAGTTAATAATTGGGTCTCCTAGATAGAAGTTCGCATTAGAATGAATTAGAATCTTAGGTTGTCTTTGTTACCCTTGTATTGGCTTCCCTACCTTTTCCTTCAAATCAAACATAGCCTAAAGGATCCGAGTCATAATTTTCTAGAATCTATTGGGAATATTCTTAGAGAAAAAATGGAAGACATTAAATTTTGGGCTCTGTCAAAATATTGTCATTAATTTGTCTATTTAGAACAAAAGCACTTTGGAACGGAAAAATGATCTCATTAAGGAAAGGTTTAATCCTATTTACAAGGATTTTTGAAATGACCTTGTAAATAACATTACACAAGCTTACAAGCCTATAATTATTCACTGTTTCTGGATTTTTATGTTTAGGGATTAAGGTAATGAGAAGATCTTGTTTAAAATTGGACATAATTTTCCTATGTAAAAGAAAGTTTTCACAATTCCACAAAAATCCTGTTTAACCACATCTCATAATTTCTTAAAGAAAAGGGCATTAAGACCATCAGGACCTGGAGCCTTATAATTTGTTTGATTTGTGCGACTAGGATGGGACAATAGGAATATTCTTCAAAGATTCCTATTTTTTCAGGTTTGTTTTGAAAGAAATGGTGAGAAGCAACGAGAATATACTTTTCAATTTTTGGGACGTGGGCCACTGAGAAATGAAACGAGTGAAAAACTTTTATCGAGGGAGGCAACTCAGTGTCGTCTTCTTCTCAGATGACCTTCTTCTTCTTCTTTTCAATTTACTTAGTCTAGGTGGATTGATATTGTTTGAAGATCTGCTCGATCTTTCGAAGTGATTCTAGACCATTTCCTTTTTTTGGGCTAATTTTGGAGGCTATTTTTTGGGTTCTAAAAGCAGTAACCTTCTTCAATATGTAACCGTTCATGTTTAGTTTCTAGACAAAAAGAGAACCACAGGTCTACTCCGATCAAGTGATGCAAAGAAGAACATAACAACATATGATAGTATCTTTTCTGGGTTAAGTTCTGGCTGGGAGCATGAATGTATGGCGGAGGAGATTGTCAGGTTGTCATCGATAGGAGGAAACGTAGCCTCTTCAGACCCACTATTCTCGTCGCTGATATGAAACTCTAATCTCATTTTCATGTCAAACCTCCCTTTCCACCCTTTCTTTGCCATCATTCCGGTAACTTTCCTTACTTGCTCAAGCAAAACCAGTCAAGTCCCTTTCCATGATTTCATTCTCGTCACTAATCTGAAACTCTAATCTCAATTTCATGTCAAACCTCCCTTTCCACCCTTTCTTTGCCATCATTCCGGTAACTTTCCTTACTTGCTCGAGCAAAACCAGTCAAGTCCCTTTCCATGATTTCATTCTATGCTAAAATACGCAGCCAAAAGGCTAATTGGGTACATTTTGCTTTGTTGCAGAAAGAAGTTAGGGTGGTTAGAGGGAAGGAGGAGATGCAGAGAAGTGGGTCTGGTAGTGGGCATGTAGAAGGCAGGTTTGGTAGTGGTCTCATCAATCAAACACAGTTTACAGAATTGAGAAAATAAACTTTTCCTTCTCATCCCATCCCATATCCCATCTCATCTCATCCTTTCTCTGACAACCAAGCGGACCATTAAGGTCTCCAATTGGTTGGAGGCTCTATAAATTTCCCTTTCTAAAACTTCTCTAATAATGCTTTCATTTTGGCTATCAGTAATACTTTTCTCAATTTCCAAATTTCTCTCCTTCTGGATTCTCCATTGCCATGATTTTATTTTAGCTTTGCTAATGGATGCTGAAATGTGAAAAAACCTATTATTCTTATCCCTAAGATTAATCTAATCAATTCTAGATTTCTAAGCCTAATAAATCTCCTCCCTCGTCAGAATTTTATTTAACTGCTTCCGTAAATAATGGTGTCCATAAAAAACTGAAAAACCAAACCAAACCAAGAAAATCGAATCGCAAAATACGGTTAATCGAATCGATCAATTCGGTTTCGATTCAGGATTTTTGAAAAACCAAAGAACAAGTTCAATTTTCGGTTAACCTACAAAAAAACCAACAGTTAACTGAACTGACCAGTACATATATTTTTAATATATGTCACATATTTTCTATGTATTATATATAAATATATATTCATTATATATATAAGTATATACTTATATTATATTTATAATGACCTATTTATAAATATATTATATATATTATATATTTTTCAAATATTTATAATGTATTATATATCATTTATTGATTATTATATAATATCGTACATATATTTGTATAATATATATTATAAATATAAAAAACTAAAAAATTGAACTGGTCAAAAACTAAAACCGGCAGACCGGTTAACCAGTGGTACCGATACCACCAGTTTGATTTACAAAAAAGTGCCATGGTGGGCACCCCTATCCGTAAGGCCCTCTCAAGATTAACCCTCATGCAATCAACTACAAATATAGATGATCAGAAGTTGGAGATCACTATAATTCTTGCAATCAATGAGTTTAATCGTAAATCTTGTAACTTTTCCGAGTTGTTAGTTCTTTTTGCCAAAAAACAAAAAGAACATCAATAGTTTTGCGTTCTTGTTTTTATATGATAATAACAAACAATTTTTTTTTGTAATAACTACCAAGTACTAACAAGGGTATATATCATATATCGCCAATATTTGTTTTTCAATACAAAGCAACTGTCACAATTTGTTTTAAAGTTTTAAGTTTTAACCCAAGACATACGAGGCTTTTTGTCTCCTTCACTACAAGAATTATTTACATCATTTTCAAATTCATGGCGGAAGGACTGAGAGTAAAAAACGGCATAAATTCACAACAATGCAACAATTGTTTTAACAGGGTTTTGCTGCGCAATTAATCTTGGTTGAACATGTTTTGACCAGTGATGACGCATAGCAAATTTCTCAAACCAAAAAAAACAGAAAAGAGAACGCATAACACAACAGATGATTCAAAAAAAAAATCAAATATACTTTATCTAGCAGACGAACATAACAAAATTCAAAGTAGCAGTTGGTCCCGGAAATCAAAATCTTCATCCTAAAGAGTTCACCACAAGCAACTCTCTAAACTTTTAACCACTGTTCTCGCTTTAAACAACAAATCTATCAAAAATTAGAAAAAAGGGCTGCAGAGTTTCACTTCCATAGAATTTGCACCATCTGCGCCTTCCAAACACAAAATCTACACTAAGCAACGAGAGTGCTTGCAGTGGTTGATTCGCTGCATAAAAAACAATTGATCAGTATGTTGTCCAAAAGAAAGAGGACCATCAATATCTACATCTAAATGAATATATCAACCAAGAACATAAAAAAAACACTATAGATACATTAATGAAAAACAAGAATGAAAACTACAAAAGTTGATGTAGAGTGAAAGAGAGACATTGGGATCATAAGATGCTTTACGGTGGGGTGCTCCCTAACCCCTGGGATGTTAAACAGTTGAACTGACAGTTGTTATACCTACGAATAAGATGATAGAGCTTATCTAGGACTTCAATGCACAAAACTACAACCTACTTTTTAATAACATGAAATTATTAATCAATTGATCTAACAAGTTCTTGAAATGTTTAATATCATCTTATCCACCATTCAAGCACCTAGTCTCCAGTTCTATCTGCTCAAACAATTAGGTGAAACCCCTAAATATATCCTACTCCATTATCACATGTCATGTGTGCAATAATGGTTGAGCCCAAGGAAAGGGAACATCCAAAAATATTGCCTGAGAGATCAAGGGGATCACACTAGTACTTATTATGATTCTGCAGCATGCAAGACTGATTCTTAGCACACAATGCTAAACTTCACAACCAATTAACTGAATAAACTCAGTGTTGGCATTTGGTATATTACTTTTCCAACTACCAAACCACTAATTGTTATAAGTTCTACTTTGCCATACTTTCTTTTGCTCGTATTCTTCTACTTGTTAGCAACTTTTGTGTTAAAAGCCAGAATGGTCATTCCAAGGGCCCACATTTGCATATGAAGGCCTAGTCCAAGTACTAAGGCTAAGAGCTTCCTTCCATGAGTATGCAAAGTTACATAATTAAGGTTTACAAGCACAGGTAATATCATGATAACATTTTTTATAATCTCTCTCTCCCCCTTTTTGTTGTTAGGAAGGGTGGGTGGATTAGAGAAAACAGTACAAAACATCTGTCAGGGAGGATGAAATACTAAGACCAGTAAATACATAATTTCCTCATTCAAGTACTTTAGGATTGCTCTCAATTAAGGCATTAAGTCAAGGTAATTAGCCATGTATCCAAAATATCCCTAATCGATTACATCTACAAACTTTACATTAGTTATCTTTAATGTTAACACCCTTCTCAATTGCACAGTATGACAAACGACCTACAAGATCCATATCTAACGTAGCTTGCCCATACAACAAACAAATACACCAACCAAGGCTATATTATTTACACTGCAGTAAAAGAAATTAATTAATAATTAATTGTCAACACATTACAAGCTTCAAAACAAAACGCTAGATCCACCAGTGATAGGAAGATCATTAAATTGGAAAACCAAAGTTAAATGGGAGAAACAATTAACACTACATACGTATATCTCAATAAATCTACGCGCTTCAGAGAAATATGAATAGAATATAGCTCGAAATTTCAAGAACAAAATGAAAATCAAATAAACAATCGACAAAGTGGACTCACTATTTCCAGACGGGAGGAAGCTTCTTTGTCCTCTTGTAGTAGCGAGCGAGTCGGTGGATCCTGCTCTCGACCAAAATCAATCTGAACTTGGAATCCTTGTCCTTCCTGTTCCTTTCAAGATGCTTTCGGATTGCAACAGCCTTCTTAATGAGGTGGTACAGATCCTCAGGAATTTCAGGAGCAAGCCCTACTCATTTTTCAAACAGCAAGGGTATTAAAAAACCCTACATTTTCTGATAATTCTTGAATCAGAGCTCCTAAGCTACATAAAAAAAGGATAGAGGAATAAGAGCCCACCATGAGCCTTAAGGATACGCAAGATCTTGTTACCCGTCACGCTCTTGACCTGAGCAATACCGTGAGAATCACGAAGAATAACACCAATCTGAGACGGCGTCAAACCCTTCTTTGCGAATTTACAGATGTTCTCCTCAACCTGCAAAGGTCAGAATAGAATCATTAGGATCAGAATGAGAGATGAATTCTAGGACTATGGAGAAGATAAGAGATTAAAGTTTCTTACATCCTGAGAAGAAATCTTCAACCAAGAAGGCGGAGTCCTCTTGTACGGCAGAGCCGACGAGGAGATACCCTTACTGTAAACAACAAGAAAGAAGCCCACAGATGAAGGAATTAGATAAGCTCAGAGACTGAAACGAATCGCCACAAAAACCTGTGAAACAAACGATAAGCTTACCCTCGACTGTGCATACGACCCATGGTGATAGCTAGCGAACTCTCTCTCTTCTCTCTCCCTCCCTCTCTCACTCAGTTCCTGTAGGACGAGCCAGAAACCCTAAAAACAAACGATGTTTCGGGTTTATATTGGAAGCCGTTTACAAACCCTACTAATCTGCGCCCATTCTAATGGGGATGAGACCAATGTGGTAGACTCCTACCGGGTCGGCCCGGTTTGGAGAAATCTCAACTCGAATCAAATCAAATCAGTAAATTGCGGTCTAGCAAATTTCAGTTCTCAGATCAAATTAAGTGAAGCATTTTAGTATAGAAATCACACTTTAGGCCATTTTAATGGGCTTAAATCAAACTTTTATTATCGTTTGGTCTTATGGTCTAGTTTCTGAATCCAGAAAACCAAACCGAGAAACCAAATTTTAGAACTTTCCCAAATTGAACCAAACTGTTTTAAAGTTCAGACCAAATCAATTTGTCAATTTTCAATCTGGTTTGATTCGGTTTGATGGTCTAAACCAAGTAATGAACACCACTAATAGAAACAATAAGACCCAAGCCTTTAAACATAACAAAAACAAAATCTATAGATCCAGAGCAAAATCAAAATCCGATACAATAGTCTTTCATTTGTTTCTAAGCTACTTATTTATACAACATATATATATATATATATATATATTGCGATGATAATCTTGCAACTTTGGATGTTTTACCTTGGTGTCTTACTTTTATTTGCTTTGTGATGTTTGGGAAGGTACCTACCCCCGGTATTGCGATGGTCATTTTGAGTCGTTGAGATCAAGCTAGGGCAGTTGTAGGTTACCAACAATAAATATATTGTAAGATGATTCTATCTAATGACTTTGATACAACTAGATGCAAATTTAGAAGAGTCCAGATCTCCTGCTCACTAGAACCCTGCCCATATTTATCACAGTCACACATGGAGAACATCTCATACTCTGCATAATGTTTCCAATTCACAGGGGGTAATGTGTTGTCGACAGAGTTCTGGTGGGCAAGAGATCTAGACTCAGTTTAGAGTCCCATAATATTCATATTTATATTGGACTTGGATGAATTGGATCATATTTAGATATTAAATATTATTAATAAATTAAATAAAAATTAATCATGATATTATTATTCATAAAATAAAGGGTAAATTACAAAGATCACCTTGTACTATGGGGTCAGTTATAAAGACTCCTATATTTTTTTGCAACAAAGACCCTTTTAGTCGTTAAGTCAAATAACAAAATGTGTTAAATTACCAATATATCCATCAAAACTTTTGGTATTTTCATTAAAAAACCTTTGGGCCTTCCCTGGCATGAGAACAAATCAATGTCGTAGGAAGGAAGATTGAATGCTCCAATTGCGATGACAAGTTCCCAGAGCAATGAGTTTATCCCTCCAGTGAATATGACTGACAAAGGCAGCTCCGATCCAACGTAAGCATTGTCTATTGTCACAAAAACTTGCCCAAAGCTTAGGGAATGACACCTCTGATTGCACTTGCATTCACCCATATTAAATTTGCCATTTTACATTTAGGCTGCATTTGTTTGGAGTGTAAATCTCATCGAAGTAAAACTCCATTGATAGACTTTCACACTGAACCATTTGAAAAAGTAGATTGTTGAAAAAAAAGGGAGCATTGAAAAATGTTTTACACTACATCCAAACACCGACAAAACTGAGTCGATGGTGACATTTTACACCGCAAACAAATGCAGCCTTAGGTTTCTGGTTGCACTCGTCCTTAAAACACCAATGGATGTGAAGTGTGAATGGTGTTTTCGAGGATTAAAGAACTTGATAATCTTCATATTTAGAAAGCTTCTGTTCTTGCAATTTCAACTCCACGTTGTTGTCTTGTGAAAATCCTGCTACAATTGAAGGTTTATGAATAAACCCTGTGAAAGACCGATCCAGCAACAAGTTCTGCCCACTGTTGGTAATTACCGTAGCAACTGCTCCTTCAATCTCCATGACTGAAATAGTAGCACGCTCATGGTTGCGGCAAGGGTGAACCACTTCACCTTTTTCCTATGTTTGTGAAGACTCGAATCGGTCTAATCTTGCCAATAAACTTTTGACCATGTGATTCATCTAGTCCATCATCCGCTGTTGGTTAATGGCTAACAATTGGATCTTTCCTTGCAGTTGTGCAAGCCGGTGCTCAAAACCGGAAATCATAACCAGCTCTGATACTATTTGTTACATTCTCGGATAGGACGTAACCTAAATTCCGTCTACTTCAAGGGAGACGAAGACCTCCAAGAGATAAAAATCTCAATTATAAAAGATAATTCTCATAATGTGTTAATTGAGAAGAAAAATACAACTTAAATACTCTGAAACTAATTCCTAAAATCTTGGCCCCAACATTAACCCATGTATCCTACTCAATTCAACCACTCTCTACGTAACTTCGCAACATGACCCAACTACTTAAACTTAACTCTTAACTGACCCAATGCAAATATTTCTCCACTAAAATCTCAACAACTGACCCTTATCAGCCCCAATGACTCCCCTAAGTTTCTCTAGTTACTTTGACCCATGAGCCTATTAGTGGGTTCGTGACAAATGCCCAAGTAGAGAAGCATGACAAAAACTTGACCAACAACTTATTAGGTTGCAGCGATGGAGAGAATAAATAAGCAAAGAAAATAAAGAAAAATAAGGAGAGAGAGAGAGATTCATTAGGGTTTTGATTGGTCAAAGATTTTCAAACATCATATCTTTCTAGCATCATAGTTTTATCAATATATATTTAAATATTATTGAAACGAACTATGTGGATCATCTTGATAAAGGGCAGCCCAGTGCATGAGGTGCTCGCCAATGCTGGGTCATATAAAGAGAGGCTGTTTCCAAGATTTGAACCCTAATCACCCAGGTTACAACGAAGCAACCCAATCATTGTGCCAATGCCGCCAATGCCGGGTGAATCATCTTGATGAAATTATAAAAAGATTAAATTTAATTTGCTTTAATTGAAACAATGTGGAACCTTGATTTAATCTATTAGAACCCATGATCCAATCGAATCACCTTTTTCTTTTGTAGTTTTACTTTTTTTATCCTATTTGAAGTAATTAATTGACTATAATATCCTTATGTAATGCTTTCTAATTAGGGGTGAGCGATAAAAACTGAAAAACCGAACCGAACCAATGAGATCAAATCGAAAATTTTGGTTAACTGAACTGCTCATTTGGTTTGATATTTTAAAAAACCGAAGGTACCGGTTGAGTTTTGGTTAACCAATAGAAAAAACCAATGATTACTTGAACCAACTAGTATACATATATTTCTATATATTATATATTTTTCATATATATATATTATATTATCCATATATTATAAATTAATAAATTTGAATTATATATAATATATTATTTATTATTTAAAATATAATATTTTATATGTATTTCTAGTTTTTTAATTATATATTTATTTATAATATATAGTATAAATATAAAAACCGGAAAACCATTAACCAAACTAATCAACCAGTTAACCGATGGATTTCAATTTGATTTCGGTTATCAGTTTTCCAAAAATTGATAGTACTAGTTCGGTTTCAAAAATAAGCCTTTAGTTAACCAAACCATGAACACCTTTTTCTTTTGTAGTTTCACTTTTTTTATCCTACTAGTAAATGTGTACGTTTGCACATGACAATATCTCTAAGACAGAACTATTTATAATTTATGGTCACTTTTTATAATTCATTTACCCAAAAATTAATCAAGGTATTAAGTGGGCAGTTTCTAAATGGTATTTCATGGTTCCAACACCCTAACAGTTTTTGAACGGTTACAAGTGGGCAGTTTCTGAAGTGAGAGTAAAAGACATATATGCCCTCTTTATACCCATTGTATGATTACATAGGGTAAACATGTCTAATAAAAATTCTAGAAAGAAGGGGCATTTGCTCTTTTATTAGTATAGATATAGATTTGAAGTAATTAATTGACTATAATATCCTTAATTCCTTATGTAATGCTTTCTAATAGAATACAAGCCCAATTCAAAAGACCCAAAATCCAAACTGCATTGACACAAACCAGGCACTGAGACTGAATTGGGTTGGGATAGCCGGATTTAACGAGCATTGGTGTCTTATTGAAGCTTCACAGCAAATTACGGTGCTGACTGCTGACTAGAGTCCAGAGGGAGGTGCTAGCTCAGCAAATTCAGTGTCTCAACAGCGAATTTAATCGGTTTACATATGCTATAAACAGTATCTAATAACACCCAATTTAGAAATAAAACATGCCAGCAATTCATATCATTACCAGACGTTTACCTCTGATTGGTTACTAATGGCACTTTATGTCCTTATCTACTAAAAGATAAAGCAACAAGCCATCCAGATGAACCGTAATAATCAAACAACCCTAAAACAAAATGTGGGAGAATTTTATTCTGCTGTGCATATTACAATTGCATAGACAACATATGATTTTCATAAGAAGTGATTGTTGCAAGTTTTAGGAACTGAAAGGCTACCAGGGAAGACAAGGACATGGGTGGAAGTTAACAAGATATGATTTAAGCACTCATGATTTAACAATGGATATGGCATTGAAGAGCAAGGAATAGCTAAACAAAATTCAGGTAGCCAACCCTTGAATGATGATGATATATGCTACAATTTTCAAAGTTTCAAACAAACCCATTTTGTTGTTATTCTCTTTCTCCATGTCATGATGTATTATTGAATAACTCCTCGCGTCTAGGAAATTCATCCTGTTTCTGCCGAGGTAAAACATCAAATATCAGTACAGCCACCACCACCAAAACACACATGTCCATTTAAGGCTAGATATGTTTATTTCTTTCACACCCAGCTTTCTTTTAAATAGTCATTCCATGGATAAATAGAAGAAATTGATAAACATTACACTTGTACAGAAATAAATCACAGAAGACCTTGAAATTATGCCAGCCAGACAAAAGCCAGTCAAGGCAGTTGCACGAATAAAATGATCAATGTCCATTAGTCTACAAACTCATAAAAACATTGGCACGCACTTGCTCCATGTTACAAGATAGTCTAGACTTAGCTTAAGTAACGTACAAGGCCCCAACATGATATGGCAACAGAAAAAAAGTTGATAATGCCTGGGTAGATAAGAGAATGGTTTCAATTTTCACGATATCCATGACTGTATGAGCTATCAGGAGAGACATTAAATGTTCTTCTGAACTCATGAAGCTAATGTTTGCAGTATTGAGGGGCTGGTCGTTCAGATGATGGGAATCTCCATTTTCTGATTTCGGGGGCAAATTATCCTCTGCGTTAGAGCTAGCACCGCCTCCTATATCATCATTTTGGGAGTCATCAGCACCTTCTTCATCGTACTTTCCACTAGGACTCCCACCACTGCCACCCTTTGGGGCACCTGGAACCAAGTCTGGGCTGGCTTCAACTCCAACATGCCTCAGATGTAACTGTAACATTGTTCCAGTTGAGAAACACATATACTGTCAAATATGAACCAAGAATGTAATTGCATTAGCAATTTTACACCATACCTGGATGTGTAGGTTAACCTCATCCGGGCGTGAGAGAAAAGGAAAATCACCTCCCGTCTTCAGATATGCTCGTCTTGCCCCATGATACCTCTCACTTAGTTGATCTTTCAATTGTTGTGGAATGGCACAATAATCATTTGTCTACAAAAGAAAGATTATGAGCCAGTAGTCATCAACCAACTGAAACATCATCTCAATATTTGCTCTTTCATATTCCAGTAAATCTCCAATAAAAGGAACAATCTGCAGCAAACTCTAAAAGATGGAAAGCATATACTACAAGCAAACATTGCTTGTTACTGTACTTTTTTTATTGGTTGGTTGTTACTATCACTAAACACTGCACCAGAATGCTTTCTGAACTAGTCATAGACTCGTAGTATACCAATAGTCTTCCCAGATTGAGTGATTAATGACCACCTGACCATCAAACCACAAGCCACTGAAAGCTAAATTTTATACCACTTAAATTTTAGAAATCGGAATCAGACTACCAACCCAATAAGGCTTGAGACTTGAGAGTGGTTTGGCTATGTTTCTTAATTTTTATTTTTTTTTTCAGATATTTATATAGATGTATTTGTGTTCATTATAAGATTGCATTTTTATTACCTCAGTCAGTTCCATGACTAAACATCTTTCAGATTTTTTTCCCTCTCTTTTGGTGCAGAACTTTGAATTTGCCATGGTATTAAAAGGCCTTGCCTGATAGGTAATTGCCACAGACAAAAGAGAGCCTGTGGAAGAGAGTTTTAATAGAGATCAGTACATGGGTGGTATGTGGAAGGATGGAACATGCTTTGTTACATTATGGGAAATCAAATGATGTTATACAACAAGAGGGACAATAAAGATGATGAAGATACAGGGGATCAGGACGATTATATTTGGGTGATAACTGGGTATTTGCCCCAACCAGCTTGACATTGGTGGGAATAACGCTGAAGAATGAGAGATCTTTCAACCAGAACAAAGATTTGATCATAGAACAGACACAAATCCAAGGTCAAAATTTCAGAGTACAAGTTGAAAGGTTGGTACGGGGGAACAATGATTTAAAGGCCAAGGTTAAGGATGTGAATAATGCCAAGGTACATTTTGAGGGGAGAGAAAAGGTGTACGGTGAAGTCAAGTTTAGCTTTGACAAGAACAAGGATGTTGTGATCTTGGAGAAAGGTGAGGCCAACAACCAATCTGATTTTTTATTTCAATGAGATTTGCAGGGGTGTGGATGGCAGGTCTGGATCTTTACCTTGTGAAGGTGAAGTGATTAGTGAAGAAGGATTCAAACTGAGAGTGATAATAGCCTGGTGAAACTACAAAAAGAGGTTAAGAGCAATCATTTGGCTGAGGTTAAAAGTGGGTTATAGGGCTGAAAGTGGTGGAAGGGAGAAATCCTTTATGCAAAACAGTTATGATGAGGGTATGGAAGATAGCAACACTGGTCAAGGTTCGAAGTATTGGCAATGTAAAGAAAGCAACTTTGAGAGATGTATTGGGATATGCATGGATATGGTGGACCAAAAAATTAACACACACATGGATACACTAGGGAAAGTCAAATAAATCCCAAAAAATACATCAATGATACTAAATTTGAGTCTTAGATGACTATAAACAGAGCAAATACACATAAGAAACACATATTTTGATAGTTTCTTTTCTTTTTTTTTTTTAATATTTGGGTATGACATCACAGGGGACTAAGGGGTGGGGACAGAGTAGGGTGCACGTGAGCTCCACTGACATTACCACAGAGAGCCTGCAGTTACGCAGGTTTGATCCCACAACTCTGCATTCAGAGGGATGCCAACTATTAAACACATACTTTGATAGTTATGTGAGGTGTAAACTACTAAGATAAAGAGAGAAAATAATAGCTTAAATATAGGAATTAATGAGGTGAGATAAACTTGCATTTAAATAAAGTTAATGATAGGAATGCTACAAATAAAATAAGAAGTATTGGCTGATATGCTCACAGTATTGACCTGTATCAGGTCTATATCAGACTGTGATCAAAACCTCCATTCATTCTACTTGTGCTGCATGCCAGTAACATGGAAAACTGATCTGTGTTGATGTATTAATACTTTAAACCTTGATATTGGTCATATGTCAGAAGATTCAACCTTGGAATTCCCTAATAAAATCTCTCATTTATCAAAAAAAAAAAAAGAAAAAAAGATTCAACCTTGGAATCAGGTTCGGTACCAAACAGCATAGAGTTGTAGAAAAGAAAGATGTCCATAAAATCAATGATACAAAGAGGGATGGTCCAATGTGGAAATATGCTATGAAGCTTCTGTTGGTAAAATAGGGATTGACTTGGGTTGTAGAAGAAATACCATTCAAAGAGATGATGCAGAGCTTGGAGTCATGTGGGAAGGACAAAAGCATCAATACTGGGAAACAGATGTAGTGCCAGAAAAATCAGAAATTGGTGCCTTTACAAAACTTTTTCTTGTCTAAAAGGTGGTCTATGTAGGGTGGGTCCATTTAAGAATTTTAAGAGGGTATTCAAAAGGAAGGCTGTGAAGGATTACTCTTGTATTAAAATAGCTGAGCAACAGAATAAAGATCAGAATGATTCTCCATCTGTGTTTTCTGTGAATGTCAGCGCTAAAAGGAAGGGTTTGGTTTTCAGAAGTTTCAGTAAATGGTGGAGATGTGAGTGATAATAAACAAGATACAACCCTGAATAACCTGTCCAACACCGCAAAATATCAGAAGGTTCTCAAGATTTGATGTCAGAAGTTGGAATATAGAATGAGGCCTGTTGTGGGCATTACCAATTCTCCTACACTCAATTTTTGGACATATTTCTCATCTGCCCAAACCTCTGCTCCATGCATCATTGTTGAGATCCTTCATGGAAGCATGGGATAGAAATAGAAAGGCATACAAAAACTGTGAAGCTGAATGTGTATTACATTAGCTGTTAAAGATTAGGTTCTTTTTATGTCACTTTATTAGAATTTTACCCTTTTTTATTTTTTTAGAGCTTATGGTTCACCTATTTGAGTCCAACCACCTAATTTCTAAATTTTCCAGTTAAAGCCTTGGGAACTGCATATTCAGAATAACTTTTCTTTTCTCTAAATAAGCATGAAATAGATACTTGCAAACCAGAAGTCAGGTTTCATACATCCATTATAGTAATAAATGAATCTGAAAGCAAGAGAGGTCCAACTGAAGCAGCATCCACAGTTAAAGTTAACCTTGAGGCCAAATCCTCTCTTGAGAGTGTTTCAACCTGTTACAGTAGAAGCCAAATACCAGAAAACATTAACCTCTCAAGTAAATTCCGAAGATTCTGCTAACAATATAAAGGTAAAATGCAATGGCTAAGGCAAAAGAATTGAAAGATAATGGCTAACTTTTCTTTCTGGTGGGGATATGTAGCGATTCAAAAATACTGATAACTTGATATTCAAATTTATATGCCCTATTGAGCATCCAGTAGGTTCAAGGTGGATCAGAAACATGTGTTACCAAGAAGAAGAAAAGTGAGTTACAAGTTGACATATACATGTATGTTTTAATGCATTAACAAGTATACTATGATTCAAGTAGGTTGCTTCAAGAAGTTAAAATAATTACTAATAAAACTTGGTGGCCTAAATTAAACATATTATCAATTTTACCTGGGAAACAACAAAATCCACAGCATCAGCAATAAAAGGCTCATGTGGCCCATTGCGGATCCCTGTTAAGACGTATCTCTTCAGCAAAAAGGAAGGGGTCCAACTAACACTGCAAAGAAGGCAAAAACCAAATTGACCAAATAAGTTTGTGGATGTATCCTGGACATTGGAAGGAAAAAAAAAAGGAATACAAAAAAGAATTTTGGTTGTGAGATGTTATCAACTATTTGTTAATAACCATGAATAAAACTCCAAGGAGGCTGTATTGCTATTATCAGAGCATTTTTGTATAATATAATGACTGTATTAGCACATAAAAGGTAAAGGGACTAAAGACCCATATTAAAAAAATAAATAAATATTATATGGTCTTCTCTCTATGATGCTTGTACATACATCACAATGAGCACGAAATGTAGTGATTTGACAGTCATTTTAGAAATTATTTGAAATTTATATTTACCAAATCCTAATATTATAGAGGACTAAATTGCAATGTTTTAAAAATCAACCCGGAGGCCAAACCGTTTTTGCCTCCGGGTTGCGGGTCACCGGTTTGACCGGCCGGGTCGAACGGTTCAGACCGTGCCATGTCATCGCATGTATATTGTAGTGAGAATGGGCCAAATGGGCCCTAGTGTTCTTTATTTCTTTTTAATAGTGTTTAAAAGTTATGTTCTTAGTTTTGGGCCTTAGTTATGGACCTTCTTGTATTTTCTTTAATTATTTCTTTAGTGCTGGCCGCCCCATTAATAAAAAGTGATGAAAGGGGGCTAGAGAGAGAGGTTCGAATTCTTCTTTTCTCTCTTTTCTTCTTTTCTTGCATTTACTGAATTACCGTAGGTGTAATTTTCAACTTGGTATAAGAGCGGGTTCTCACTTTTGACTTTTTTTTTTTCCTTTCTTTGCCCATACATAGTGTATGGAGAACTGATCGGTTGATCAATCAACTACTTATGCAACCTAGTTAGGAAGGTTTTTGGAGAGTTTGTGGAGGTTTTTCATCCTTAGTTGAAGCCTAGGGCAGGTTCTTGGAGATTTTCCCAAAAACCCTAGATAACTAGAGAAACCTTGTTACAGGTTGTAGAGACAGTTTGAACCAGGCGCTTGGGGATCAGAGGTAAGCCTTTTGATTTTTCTTAGGGGCGGTTTTGGTTGGATTGAATTCTGGAATCCCTTGGAAGGGGCGGTTGAAGTTTCTCTCTTTCTCTCCATCTCGCAAGATCCTGTGAAACCCTAATTTTTGGGGGTTGAGAGGTTGTTCTTTGCTTAAAACAGTAAATCTAGCCTAGTAAAGCCCTAATTTGATTTTCGTTTGCATCTGTTTACTCAATGGATCAAACTGGAGGAGAGACCAAATATTCCACAGATTTCGAGTTTGGACATGGGGGTCGATGGAGAATCTTTTTGGGGTTGTGACTACTGTGAAGCTAAATGGGACCAATTATTTAGCTTGGTCTCAATCTATTAAGATACATGTGTATAGTAGAGGAAAACGAGGTTATATAATGGGAGCAAGAATAAACCGGAGGAGGATGATCCTACCTATGAAAGGTGGATGCAAGAAAATTACTTAGTAGTGGGTTGGTTAGTGAATTCTATGCAACCACATATTAGTCAGCACTACCTGTGGAAGGAAACTGCAAAAGAAGTGTGGGATAGTGTCACAAAGACCTATTCCCAAAAGCTTAATGTTGCTCGGGCCTACAAATTGAAGCATGATGTGAATAATCTTGATCTGATGGAAACTGTTGTTTGGGGTTGCACAAAGGATGCAAAAACATATAGGAGATTGGTGGAGAGAAATTGGGTCTTTGAGTTCTTCATTGGACTCAACTCGGAGTACGATATTGTGAGGCAGAATGTTTTATGTGGTGACTTTGTATCAGGCATATGCTATGGTGAGCAGTGAGGAGAGCAGAAGATAGGTTCAATCTGTTGAACTGCAAGTTGATCGCTATGCTAATGCGGGGATGAAGCCAAAGGTTAGCACTGGGAAGAAAGATGTTATCTATGAATAATGCAAGAAGCCTAAACGCACTAAAAACACATGTTGGAAGCTGCACCCAGAGCTCATTCTTACCAGATTCAAGAAAGAAAATGGTGGAAAAAGGGTTGAAACTGGAAAAGGTGGAAATGCAAATGTAGCCACCTCTTCACAAGGTGAACAAGGACAGAGTGGAGAGAAGTCAATGGGAGAACAGCTTGCAGCCAGGGCTGAATATGAGAAGTATGGCCGAATCATCAATCACTTGGAGTCCACTGCTACAACTCCTTCAGAGACTATTCCTTCCTCTACATATGCTCACTCAGGTATTCATGCAATTGCACATCATGCTTCTATCTCAAGTACTATAAAATCCCTTGGGTAATTGGTTTTGGTGCTTTTGACCATATGACCAGTGTTTCATAGTTATTCACCTCTTACCAACTTCTTTCTGGTTGGGATAAGATATCCCTTGTTGATGGCTCCCTAACCCCTATCATGAGAAAGGGAAACATTAAGACCTCTAATGCCCTGACCTTATCATTTGTTTTTCATGTACCTAAACTTAATACCAATTTGCTTTCAGCTAGCAATTTGACTAAATCCCTAAATTGTAGTGCAACCTTTTTTTCCTTCATATTGTGTTTTTCAGGACATGGAATCTCAGAAGGTGATTGGGAGTGGCCATGAGGCGAATGGGATCTATCTGTTAGACATGCCTGAGCAGAGCCAAGTACAACCTAAGAGAACTGCATTTGTTTCAGAGTCCACTAGTTGTATTATGTTATGTCATAGTCGTTTGGGTCATTTGTCCTTTTCTTCATTGAGTAAGTTGTTTCCAGAGTTATTTAAAGGAATTAGTCTACCGAGTCAGTTGTTTCCAGGATAAGAGTACTTATCCTTCAAGTAATAAAAGATCAACTATTCCTTTTAATATTGTTCACTCTGATGTGTGGGGGCCTTACCATATACCGTGTATGGGTGGGTATAAATATTTTATCCTGTTTATTGATGATTTTTCACGATATACTTGGATTTACCTTATGACCTCTCAGGTTGAAGTGCCTAAACTTGTGCAATAGTTCCATGAACACATACTCACTCAGTTTAATACCCACATCAAAATATTCCAATCATACAATGCTAAAGAATATTTTGAGAAGGACCTTACCTCCTATCTTGAGAAGTTTGGGGTTATTCATTAGAGTTCTTGTACCCGCACTCCACAACAAAATGGAGTAGTGGAAAGGAAAAACAGACACATTGTGGAAGTTGCAAAGAGCATTCTTTTTGCTACCCATGTTCTTGTGAAGTTTTGGGGTGATGCAGTTTTAACAACTACCTACTTATTAACCGCATGCCTTCTCGAGTCTTAGGGTTAAAATCTCCTTTTGGAGTCCCCTTTCCTGATGTTGAGATTTTCTCTATTCCTTTGAGGGTCTTTGGTTGCACTTGTTATGTCCACATTCCCAGTTCCACAAGACACAAGTTTGACCCCAAGGCTCAGAAGTGTATCTTCCTTGGTTATGCCTCCACACAGAAAGGGTATTGCTGTTTTGATCCCATTGGTGGCACCCAATTTGCCTCCATGGATGTCACCTTTGTAGAGTTAGTTCCTTTTTATAACCATCCTTCTAAGGGAGTGTTGGTGTGAAAATTTTAATAAATTCTCATGCAACATAATTCACTCAATCAAGTGATTGAGTTTTTATTATTTTGGGTAAGGCCCATTCAGGGAATCATACGGATTGTTCCCCTTAATTACATCTTCACAAGAAAGTAGAGAACACCTTTTGATTCTGACTTTGAGAAATTAATGCATAGAACAAAAGAAAAGAACAATAGGGTACTTAAAAAGAACTTTTCATTTGTGTTTCTTTTACATCAAGTGTACAAGAATGAGAAGAAGGAAAAAGAAAATACAATTGAGAAACTATACAACTATACATTTCTCTTTTCTTTTTGATACAAAGAAAATTTCCTTCTCACTCCTTTCTTCACAATAAGCTGTAGTCAATCAGATGGAATTCTGACTATAGACAGCCTTAATCCTTGGATTTTTGCATACAAAAAGGGCACCGTAGTCAATCAAACCAAATATTTGATTGTAGACGATTTTTATCCCTCTACTCTTCATTTTGCTTGAAGGGAACCATAATCAGCCCTTGAGAATTAGGCTGTAGATGGTTTAATCCCTAACTTTGTCATGAGGAACCATAATCAACCAAGTACAGGCACTTGATTGTAGATGGTTTATTTGCCCCTATTTCCTTTCTCCAAAGTTAAAATAAAAGAGAGAGAAAGAAGGATACATAGCAGAAAACATATATTGGAAGTATTCACAGAGAGAACTTTCCTTTTTCTACCTATATTAGTGAGACTTTTCCTTCCCTACCTTCCCTTGAGCACTTCTCTTTTCTTCTCTCTTTATCTTTGCTTTTCTTAAGGATCTCTTGAGATAATTTTCCCCGATGAGTGTCTCAGTTCTAGCTTCCCCTTAAGGGGCTTAAATAGGGAGTGGGGTAATTATGTAACTACCTCCTCCTCCTAGGTGAAGAACACCTGTCCCTCCCACTTAAAGAGAGGGAACTCCCATACAGGATACTTTTCTATAGTTTTGATGATTTGTCTAGAAGACTAGCCAATCCACTCATTTGAGTTATAATTTATATAAATATTATTTGGATTAAAAAAATGCCTTCAACAATGCCCCCTTGAGCACTGTGGGCCTATAATCCTAGAATATGGGCGTACAAGGCTCAAATAAGCAGTTAAAGTAAAAATTTATGAAGGTTATATCATCAGAAAAGAATTGAGCCAAAATTGGAAGAGTCCTAGTATGATTAGGACTCTTGCGATATCTTTCGTTAGACAAAATCTGATATAATCTAATTATTTGATTGATTTGATGAGGCTTTATAGTTATTCATCTTGTTAAATTGAGAAGTCCTAGTGCAACTAGGACTCTCGATTTCATTATGCTTGATGTTACTGATTTGGTTTGAGTATTTGAGGGTTAATCACAGATTTCCATAGTTGAAAGAGTCCTGGTTGAAGTAGGACTTTTTGATTTTATCAAATTATCTTTGATCCACCCTTAAATCTTGATCCCGAGTTATTTT